TGAGTTTTCTTGTAAAGTTGTCTTTTCTTGCAGATAAAAGCTTTGATTAAAAGGTTTGGTCAAAATTAGGATCAACGTTGTGTTTTAATCATCAACAGAAATGCAAGCATCAGCATCCTAAGTATCAACAGCAACAACATCTAGGCCATCATCTTCATTAAAATCATTAAATTCTCACTTCATTTAATAAGCATTCTCATCGTCCTCCTGTGAGTCCAACTGATCCTCGTTTTGAGCTAACTTATTCAGCGCTTAATGACGAAAACAGAATGTAGAGTAATGCGAAAGTTTTCCTTTAATTCAATAATAAGCTTTAATTGGACTTTAATTCAAAGTTCATGAAGAAAATCAATTATTTATTATAATAATAGGGTGATTACCCTAATACTCAACTATAGTCAAGTACCTGAAATTGTCCGTACCCAAAACTTTATTAGTACACCGAAGTGTAATGATTTAACATTTAAAACTAAAGGGGAAATCTGTAGCTCATCCAGTGGAGGAAAGCTGTGCCAGACAACTTAGGGTAGGAAAAATACAATAATTTTGGGTTACAAATAATTAGGTAAAAACAAAAGTTAAATTTACAAATTATATTAATTGGCTGAGGGTTAATTTGATTGTCCAAAGATCCAATTTGATGATTGTAAATAAGTACCAAGGGTTGAGATGAAAGAGAAGATGAGGTCCGAAAAATAGTTTAACTCATTAGGTATGATATGAAGAAAAGAAAAGAAAATTAGAATTTCAATCTTTTAAAATGTGAAAACAATTATTTTAATTATAGATGTGAAGTAATTTTCAATCAATTTGTTTAATAATTGTATTTAAAGTATAAAATTTAAAGTATGAGTTTGAGTTAGAGAAAAGAAAGTTGTATTAAATTACCATCAAAACTTACCAAGAAAACAAAAATGGTTTAAATTATTACAACGCAATAATAGCTCAGTTTTAAGGGTAACAAAAAACAACCAAAGTAACTGTTTAACTATCATAATTTTGGTACCGACTTGATCCGTGTGATAAGATAAACAATAATAACACAAAATTAAATATTAAATTCACAGATAAAGTTAATTAAATTAAAGTTTATCAGGAGCGATAAAAATCGTGTTTTTAACGCAAAACTGTCCATCGGTAGTTGCTCCATCTTTCTAATTGGAACTAACCCCATTGAATTAATTAGAGCAAATATTTTTTTCTTAATTAAATCTCATCAATATCAAAATAACTTAATAAGATTAAAATTATTCATAGTTTTCATGACAATTTCTGATTGTTTAGAGGATGAGTTCAGGTAAAATATTTTTTTGATAAAAATAATCGATTAATTTACACCCCTTTCAAATCACCCGCTCTACGAATAACCCGTACAAAAAGTGGACAATTTTAGGTACTTGACTGTATCTGAAATGGGTAATGGTTGAGAATTTGGTTGAAAGCTCAGTAAATTAGTTGATTAAGTGAGTTATTGATTCTCGAAGTTATTTTTATTGTGCAAAGTGAACATAATTGATGAGTAGATTTATTTGGATTGAGGTGTGTCATCTATGGATTAGCATAATCTTTGCAGTAATTCATGAATACGAATCCATATGATATTTATGTTCATTTTGATTAAATGTTTCAATGGTTGACAAAATTGATCAATCCAAGTAAAATAGTGAATGAAAGTGTTAAAAGTGATGTGATGAAATTGGGTGAGATTAACACGAGATCAGCGAAATTAAAACCAACATTAGCTTTTGTTATTCGATTAAGAAAACTTTTTATCTGTATGGAAATCAGATCAATCAATTAATCTTGTTTGCAATGAAAGAAATGACAATATTTACCTGATCTATCATTGGAATAGAATCAGTTTCCAATGAAAGTTCATACAAATCTTCAAGCGCTCCTTCTGAGTTTACATGGACACTGTTCAAGTTTGAAGTGAGAAAAGTGATTGCAAATATTTTTACCAAAATTATGAATGACCAAGTAACATGAATGATTAGATTAACCGAATTTTCCGCTCGAAAGGCAATCGAAAAAAATAAAATAATAATATCCAATGAATCTCGTGAATAATGAAAAGTAACCAAATCTTTGAAGAAAGATTCAGCTGACAATGTTGATTGAACTGCATAGAAATAGTTTTTCTGATAAGTTTTCAAGCGACCAAGTTGAATCCTTTCATCGTCAGTAAAATTGAACCTTTCGATTGACGAATTGATCGTTTGAAATGTAAATGATAGACAAGCTGTAGAATCATTTAGAATGATCAGTAAACAGCAACGACCGAATACCAAAAATGTGAAGAGTAGAAACATTCCAATGTTAAACTTTTTCAATATCATATAAGTAGAAGCTCCTAATAAATGAAAAGCTAATGTCAGAGTGAACTGTATTAGAACTCTATTGCTCCTCTTTCTTTGTAGTTTCTTTTCCGTCGATATATCCTCTGGAATATTAATTAGATCAATGTAACGAACATAGCTCCAAAATCGTGACCAGTCAAGTCGAAAGATCAGTAGAGTTTGGAGAAATGTTCGAATTAGTCCAATCATGAATGAGAAAAATAAAATCATTTCGAACCTCGATGAAGGAGATCGAAATCGAAAATGGTGAACCATTTGTTGTATTTCAAGGTACAAACAACAAAAGACCATATCGATGGTTAACACCCAATGGATAATCGGTTTATTCAAAATTTCCCGTTGAATTAACCAACAATTTATAACAGTGAATCTATTAGCGTCCATTTTGTCAGTAAACTATTGCTTTCGATTACGAAGTTAAAGTCTTACTTGGCCTCTTTTGAATTTTTTGGAACTACAGTTGCCCTTCAGACCAACTAATAAGAATGGTTATCGTTTCCATAGAGTTTGGAATTAATCAAAAACAAATCATCAATTGCGTCGTTTGAATGAACAATCAATCAGCATGATACTAATAGAATTGAAAATCATATACATGTATATCAGAAGTTTCGTTTCCTTATTGATTAATTTGTTTTTGAAAAACGAAATTCAAAAGCAAAAAATAGTTGAGAACTTTTTTTCTAATCAAATCAATTAATTAATGACACCTTTCCAAGGTGAGTACAGTCTAAGACAGGATTTAATTGATTAGTTAACTTTTTATTTTTTTTCATCAATAGTTTAGTTAGTAAGCAAAATTAACAGAATTTGATATTGGGTTTGCAATCAAATGATAATAATTTCGCAATAAGCAATTAACTACTTAACTTTATGTCCCACAACAAATTGTTAATAAGTTGATGAGTGATTTAATCAGTTAATAAGAATAAGGATTCTTGAATAGTTTTAAATAATCAATTCTAATAGTATGCCGATAGCTTCAATTAACCAAACGGGATTCGAGAAAGATCAAAGCACAATATGCGCAACAGAATAGGTTATGATTAATTTCCGCCAGTGCAAAGACAATGATTTGATTTGATTGATCAAGATTTTGCTACAAATTTGGTTAGATTATTGTTTAATTGCTGGTATTGGAAAAATTTGTGGGAACTTTTTGATTACAATGGATTTAGCGTAACCAAGCATAAGAAAAAAAGTTTCCGTTAGCAGGGTGAAAACGGATAAGGCTGAGAATCCAAGCCAAATCGAAACGACTTCAATAACGTCTCTTTTATAGTCATCCCAAGGGTAAGAATATTTAATGTCACATTGAATGTCCATTGACCGGTCAAGTAGAAAGGTAAGAGATGATTGATTCAACTGATTGGTCAACATTGTGGTTGTCGTATCGTAGTTGACATATCGACATGGATCAGGTCGTTTAGAGCAGTCAAAAAATTTGAGCTCCTTTTTCATCGAACTGTTTAAATTCAAATATCGATAGTTATCAAAAGTCGCATTGAAAAGAGGTACAACTGTAAAGAGTTCAAATGAACTTTTCAACAAACTTTTCGATTCAGCGATGACACAATCATGATAACTGTGTTGTGTCCGATTCTGACATCCAGGGCCCTCCGGTAAGGGATGAGTGTGTTTAGTATGCTTACCAACATTGACCAGCATATGTTCTTGACCATTGGTTATTGAAGTGATGTCATTACGATGTGAAACATAGAGACTGTCAATCGATCCTTGTTCCGTTAATATCAATGAATAGATTGATAAGTTATGGGAAATTCTGAATATTGAACGACGATAAGGAGGCAGTTTAACACATGAGATTTTGAAAAATATCTCGAAACCATCGGTGAAATAGGTCACTGGACATTGATGACTGATTTCTCGAGTTCGCAAATTGGGTTTCCTGATGTGCATGGAGAAGTGTTTGAGTTCAGGTCGAAGATTATTACCAATCTCTCCAATGGTCAAGTCGGTAATAAAATCGATATAATCTTGATTATCTCGATCATTCTCCGGAATATTAAATGGTAAGTCAAGACTTTCATTGTCGATCGGAACACTCATGTAAATATCAGGAAATGGGTCTCGTATGTCGGTAAAGTTAACCCGACTCGGCATATTGACCTGTTTCACAAAATACTTAATTGTTAGGTCGTAAACTTGAGGCATCCAAATGAACGAACAAATCAAGCAGAATAAAATAGATATTTTATGTTTAAGGAACATGGCGATTATCGGTTGATCATTTCTGAATTTAGAAAAATTTTCAACAATTAACTTATTTGGATCTAAAATAATGAGTCTATTGAATTTCTATTAGAGTTTAAAAGATACTCGAATTAGTTTTATCATGATGATTGTTGTCTCATGTTAGCTCATTGAATTCTGATCAGATTTAAATTCAAACCTTTAATTATCCAAGATTTATTCATGACGTATCATCTTTTCAAGGTCATTCATTATATTAATCAACATTCTTCTCATCATTTCAATGTCATTATCATCATGTAGGTGTTCATCAAGTGTATTACAATTATCATCTTTTTGCAGGGTTAATGATAATTGTTTGGTCATTAGTTTGACCATTAGACCACTGATTATGAAATCATTTACAGGGTGAACTTATGTTTAATGTTATGTTTTATTCAATGATCAGCTTTTATTTAGACATTAATTCAGAGTTCATGAGAAAAATCAATTTTTTAATTATCTCAAATGGATAATAGTTTATCATTCAGTTTAGAGGTTAGTTTGGATTTCAAAAATTACATTGTATTAAAATTGTACATTCATTGTCAAAATATCAGGAACAACAGGAACGTTTTCAGCTTCGGCTAATGTCCAATTTTCAGGAACAAGGATACGAGATGAATTTGATTGGATTATTGATGAAGTTGCTAATCCACTAGAATTACAAATACCCATAACTCGTTCACCAGAAGAATTGATACCCGAAAACTCAATACCAATTGATGGCATGTAATGAACACTATCATGAAGAGGATATAAACGAAGAGGAACTCGTCCAGTTGCGACGAGAATATCACTGAAATTCAAAGACCCACAATAATAGATATTGAATAGTTATCTTTTCCAATCGAGAATCAGAACTTTTTTCATGATGAATAAAATTTGAAAATTTATTTTTCAGTTTTTATTCAGTACAGTTCATTTATCCAGTAGATGCTTTCATTGCCAACGCTTCAAGAATCTCAGTGATTTCTTTCGAATTCTCTATAATCATGTTATCGTGTTGTCCAGGTAATTTGAAAACAGTGACAGCTCCATTTGTATACTGTTAAGAAAAGTTTTCGAATCGAATTTCATTATTATGATTATCCACCATTAATAAATTAATAAACTTACTTTAGATAATCCATAATCTTCCAAATGATTGAAATCTGCATTAAACTCATGCAAATCTGTTCCTCGAATTAAAACAATTTCACCGTTGAAATTTTCGTCCACTTTTACAGCGGCAGCTTTTTTCGGCTTATCTACAAAAAGATCAATAGCATCACTTATTTGGTTAACATCATATTCAAATGATCCAATCCTGTTGATAGTTGCAGTTGCATATTCTAATTTTTCTTGTTTCGTTTCGAACTCTAACAGTTTTGTTCTCACTTCGTTCTTTTCATCACTTCTCATATACTGTGAGAAATAATCAAATATAAAGCATATAAATATTGTGCTTTCATCTTTTCCTGCATATTCTTCATAAACATTTCTCGTTTTGCTGTTTACAATTTCGGGGGATGAATCCATAATGATGAGAGTTTTAACAGAATCTTGGCCCAATTTCTTTTGTAAGCTAATGGCCACTTTGAAGGCTATCACTCCACCAAAGCAGAAACCAATAAGATTAAATGTCTTCTCATTTGGATATTTGGTTATAAGTGAGTCCACATAAAAGTTAATAACTTCATCCATTGATTCGAGATTCTGACAGTCTTTGGTCCAACTGATGCCAATCACTGGTTTTGAGAATGATTCAAATACTGGAATAACGACAGCAAATTGACCCGATTGACCTGGGAAGTAAAAGTATGGTAATCCAAATTCACTTCTATTCAATGGGATAAATAATTGCGTATGAACATGGAAAATATTTCTGTATATTGGTAATGAATGAGTGGAGTTGACTTTTTTCTTCTCTGATTTTTTCAATTTATTTTCGAGTTCATCTAATTCACCAACTTTCAGTTCTCGAATTTCATTGGTTGTCATTGAATAATCGTAATCAGTATCGAGAGCTTGTTTAATTTCAACTGCCATCAATGAATCAATACCAAGCTCAGATAAAGTTGATTGTGGATCAACTTTAGTTGCATCTTTAACACTAAGGATATGAAAGATTCTCTGTTTTAATGAGTTTCTATTTCCTATTGATGATGCACTTTTTTTATCAGAAAATGAAACTATGGTGAAAAGTGAACTATCATCGGATGACATTAAAGTTTTGTCAAATGAATCCAATACTAAATTCAAACGAATTGGTTCAAGAGAGCTCAACGTCTCGTTAGATCGCACATTCATCTCTGTAAATATCCCAACATCACCAACTGTTCCCCATCGAATAGCCAAACCATGTAGTCCATCTAATCTTCTTTTCCTACAAATATTTTCCATCGCTGCATTACCGAAACAATAATTGGTCTGTGCAATACTTGAGCTCAACAGCTATTGAAGAAAAGCATACGAAATAATCAATATTGTAGGGCAGAGAGCGAGTTAATTGGTCCAAATAACGACAAGCGATAGCTTTTGGTTTGACAGCTTCATCAAATGTTTCAGCTGTTTGATTTTCGAAAAGTCCATCTCTTAGAACTATAGAAAGATGAAATACTCCACCGATTTGGCCCAATTCTTGTGCTTGATTAATTAATCTCTCAGCTGATTCTGAAGTTGAACAATCTTCATTAGAGATAATAATATTCACTCGAGAGTAACTATTGTTTCTCATTCTTTCTAAAATATACTCTTGGTATTTTGTCTTGATTCCAGAACGTGAGGTTAGAACTAGATTAGTCGCTCCTCTTGATACCATCCAATAGGCAAGTTCGAGTCCTAATCCTCCAAGTCCACCAGTTATTATGTAGCTTTTTTCAAGATCGAAAAATGTTTGACCAATTGAACGATAAAGTTCAGCTTTGTTTGGATCTTCATTTTCATTTCTCATTTGAATCAAAACTTTACCAATATGTTTCCCTGTTGCCATAAACCTAAACGACTCTTCCAGCTGATTCATTTGGAATATCGTTGTCGATAGAGGTACAACTTCGCCTGATTTGATTCCTTCTTTTAACATCTCAATAAGACCATTCCAAACTTGTATCCGACCAGGAATCATCTTGATGAACACATCATCTTGCAGAAATGCCAAGCAACAAGCATGAAACGTTTTGTTGAAATCTATGAATTGTGAATCTATTTGGATAAATTTATTAATACACAAATATGAAAAACAAAGTATTAGCCGGGCTAATTTAGCCCAGACTTACCCATTTTCGTGTTTTGGATCATATCATATTTACCAATTTCGATGAAGCGACCGAAATCTGATAAGCATCTGATCGAAGCTTTTAATTTATCATCAGAAAGTGAATTTAAAACCAAATCAACTCCTCGACCATCGGTCATCTTCATAATCATATCTTCAAATGATGTTGATCGAGAATCACCAATATGATCATCATCGATTGAAGGGAAACGTTTCTTAATGAAATCCCGTTTCTCTTGTGTTCCAACTGTAGTAAATACTTGACAACCTTTTGATAGACAGATCGAAATAGCTGCTTGACCAACTCCTCCTGAACCTGCATGAATTAAAACACTTTCACCAGATTGTAAATTTCCTCGAGAAATTAAACCATAATAAGCTGTTAGATAGACAACAGGAACTGTTGCAGCTTCGGCTAATGTCCAATTTTCTGGAACTGGAATCTTTGTTAAATAAGTTTCAACGCAAAGAGATGTTCCGATTCCTCCAGCTGCACACATCCCCATGATTCGATTACCTAATGAATCTATTCCAGAAAACTCAGTTCCAATTAGTGGACCAGCTTGTAACCCGTCGTTGTCCATATTAAATTGTAAATTAATTCTTCCTGTGACAATTAGAACATCTTTGAAATTCAAAGACCCAAAATAGATTGTTATCTTTTCATGATCTTCGATGAGCTTCTCCTTAGGAATATGAGTCCAATTACTATGATGTGATTGAAACCATCGCAAACTTGAAAGATCACCTTTGGTTTTAATATCAGCATAACATGACATTGTTTCTATTTGTAAATCATCAAGATTGGCAAGTTCACTTTTATACAATCCAATCTCTCCACTTTCATCAACTTCATTTACTATCAAATCTCTTTCCATTACTTCATCAGGAACAATTATCTCTTCATTATCATCTTTTTTCGGATCATAATAACATCTCAAATTATAACCATGTGGATCTTTAACCAGACACATGATGAGTCCAACTATCCCGTTATCATAACCACCTCCAGTTAACCAGATTTTATGATTCTTATCTTTCGACAATTCTTTTATCTTATCAATCCAATCATAATTATTATCAAGTTTCACTCTGATAAATGTTACCTGTTGATCTGGATTAGGTGCGAATGGACGTCTCAGTAGAACTGAACAATATCCTTCATCGACCATCTCCTTGTGACAAATCCAAGTGAATCCAGCATCGGTTGCGTTACTTTTAAGTGTTGATAAATCAAAGTTGATCTGTTGATTATTTCCAATCAATTGTTGCCATTCTTGTTCGACTGGTCTTAATTTAGTTCTCGTCATAATTTGACAAAATCCACCTTCTTTTAGTGAATCAAATAGATTCTTCAACAATGGATCGTATTGATTGCATTTTACTTCAGGTTCGGTATCTTTGTACATGAGAAGAGTTGACTTGTCACGAATAAAGATAAAATCGTATAACTTTGATTCTGAGCCATTTTCGGTGTTTCCATTCTGAATATTGATCACATTAGAATCAGAATCACTCTTTATAAAATGATTCATCGTTGTGAATCCATAATCATTGAAAATATTTTCAACATCGTTTTCAAATAGCTTTTGACTGAAATTACAAAATGCAATGTAGATTTTTTTCTTGATTAAATTGTATCTTGCAATACTCAGAATTTGTTCAAGTAAAAATTTTTCTGGTTCATAAAAGAAAAAATCTCGGTACAGAGCATCTTGATATTGGTTGAGAACAGCATCTAAATTCGAGTCGAAATCTACACTATCGATTAGACTTTTGCATTGTTGTATCTCCAACTCTAAAATTTGTCTTAAAACTTTGTCAGAACTATTGTTTTCATTGATCTCTGGCTTAAGATCATTAAAATCTATTTGATCAAGCTTTCTTGATTTCAATCTCTCGATATTTTCAATTAATTTCGAGCATTGAAAACTATACTCTTGTTGTCTCATTGCTTTTTCATTGCTAAGCTTATGATACGAATTGAATGGGATTAGATTATGGTTTCGTATTTGGTGGTTCACTGTGTTGATCTTTCTTCTGATTTCTTCGCCTTCTAATCCTTTAAGAATAAAACCGCTCGTGAATCCCGTTCTCGTTTCTTGATTGAAATAAACACTAAGTTTTATAGTAGAATCAGAAACTGATCTGACAGTTTCATCGCTAAAGGCACTTAATGTTTCTGGTGGAAACATGTAAACATAATCAATGTAAACAGGAACAATCAGCTTACGGGACTTCGAAGCCAATAACGAGACCTGTAAACAAGCATCAGAAAAGCTAATCCAATGTCCAGTGTCTTTGACCATACCCCACCTTCCATTAGAAGAAGCTTCTTCTACACCTTGGAATGATCCTGAATAGTCATAACCACGAATTCTAAGTTCCTTGTAAATATCCTTCTTTTGAAGTATAATCTCTTTTTCTTTGATATTCTTAAAATCAACAGATAGCAAGTTTACTGTCGGTTTATCAACAAGTCGATATTTTCCAGTTATACAGACATTTTTACTCTCATTAACGTAGATGAGGAAAGTTTCAAGATCTTCGTTAACTTTCGTGACAAATTTCATTTGACTTGCAGTTGATGTGAATTGTGTTGCTCGAAGAATTTGAACTTGATAAAATTCAACTGGATTTTCGTTAGGTTCGAGATTTAGAGCTCTACAGATCATTTGCCAAGCGTTATAAAGATAACCTGTTGCTGGAAACAAAATCCTTCCATCTATCTGATGACCAGTAAGAAATGACCAGGAAGGGTCGTGAAGATCAATTATTTTGATAAGTTCAGTTTCTTGCTTAAAATACTTGTGATATTTAGTATCAAACCATTCCTTTTCATGCTTCCATTTAATCAGATGACCAATGGTTGAGTTTCTCTTGGGACTGGATATTCAATTTGATCATAAAGATTTGTAACCATTGGATTAAGACCATGAAGATAAATCTGACCAATCATTTTGTAAAGATGCAAAGTCGATTGGTTATAGTTGCTAATTTTTTCAACATCTCTCGATCACTAATTAAGAAGATTGATGATTGTCTCGTCTCAACATTTAAACCAATCTCTAGTAACACAGAGTTAGAATCAATCTTTTCTAGCATTTCATTGAAATTAAATGATTCTGTGATACAGGAAACGAAAAAATGTCCATCAATGATATGCTCTTGATCAGAATTGATAAAGTTTTCACAAAGATTAGTCTTTAATCCGGAATTTGTTTTCAATGGTCTGAGAAATTTGTTGATTTCAAGTTCAAGTGGTTTTGATACTTCATTAAGCAAAGATGAGTTAAAAGGAATCCCTTTAGTATCAATAAGATTTGTCTTGATACTAGGTTCCATTTTTGAGATGAATTTTTTAATCGCATCTTCAGTACCAGTGATCAACGTCCAATCTTCCGACTCATGTGAAGCTAATTCGATACAACCAAAATTCATCTCTTCAATTTGTCTCCATGGTAAATTAACATAAGCCATTGCTCCTTTTCCTTTAAATTGTTTACAAGCGACACCAATATGATAACCGATTAACAGAGCATCTTCATCAGTTATACATCCAACGGCATAAGAAGCAGCAATTGAACCAATCGAATGACCAATAATACCTTTGGGTTTAATTTCCAAATGTTTAGTTAGTAGATCACAAAGAGCAATTTGGATCGCAATTGACGAAATTAAGAAGGAAATTAAATCCTGTTGATTCGATTCGATAATCTTGATAACATCAATTCCTAATGAACTCAAGCGATCAGTTTGCATTGATCTTATTCTTGAATAAATTAGAGGAACTTCCAACAGTTGAGCAAATGATTGTGATGAGACATTAAACATTGGAGTGAATATCAACCAAGGAAACACTTCATCAGTTGATACATTTTGTTTTAATGTTTGATGAATGATTGTTTGTTCATCATCCAACAGTAAATATCCACGATGATCAAACCCTGTTGATGGTTTGATCTTACTCATGTTATCCAAAAGTGCCAACGTGTATTTTGTTAATGATCCTTTTTGCTCCTCAATAAAATTGACGATAGTTTCCAAGCCTTCGTAAGTTCGATTGGAAAAATTGACTAAACGTGGTATTTTATTGGAACTTAAAATTAGGTCAGTTTTTACGATTCTTTGAGAATTTGCTTGCAAAATGAAGGTAGTGTTAACACCACCGAATCCGAATGCATTCACCATAATATGATCTCCATCGAATCTTGTATTTTCAAGAATGGGTCTAATAACACCTTTGATTAGCCCATCGATATTTGGATTTGGTTCGTTGAAATGTAAATTAGCAGGAATTACTCCAGTTTGGAAAATTTTAACGACTTTTGAGATCGCATTTAAGACGGAAGAACCTTCAGAATGACCAATATTTGATTTGAGACAACCAACAAGAAGAGGTTTATCTGAATCGGGTCTCATTGTTTCCATCAATGCTTTACATTCAATTGGATCTCCAGCTGCAGTTCCCGTTACATGCGCTTCAACATAGTCGATATCCACTGGATCTAAATGCACATCTTTAAATAATCGTCTAAGAACATCTATCTGACCTTCAAGTCGTGGAAAAGTAATTCCTTCTTTGGTGAATCCATCATTATTCACAGCGATATTTATTAAAGAACCGTAAACTCTCTTGGCATCAGATTTACGTTGAATTAAAATCGCCACAATACTTTCAGATCTGAGATAACCATTAGCATTAGCATCTAAACATTTGGACTTACCATCAATACCGATCATTCCAAATGATTTGAAACAATGAGAGACGAATGGAACAAAACAATGATTATGAGCAAGAACAATCGCTTGATCGCAATCACCAATCAATATGCTTCTCGTTGCGACATCGAAAGCTGAAGCAGCGGCAGCACATGCAGTGTCCACGCTGATGACTGGACCTTTCAGATCAAACACATAATGTAACCAATTGACGCTTTCAGGACTATTCAGCCCAGAAGGAACTCCATCAAATTGTGGTCTATGACTCGCACTAACACCAGAAAAAAGACCTGTGTTTGTACCACGCCAACTATCGTGGGTGAAACCTTCCATTTGATTCAAAAACGAATAAATAACTTTTCTCGAGATATTTTACGATTGTAAACTTACCAGCATCAATGAACATTTCGTATATAACCTCATGCATAACGCGAACTGCTGGAAAAATGGTTGATACAGATTCTGTTGGTATTTTGAAAAATTCTGCATCAAAAAGGCCAATATTCGGAACTTTGGCTAACCTTTTAGGTATATTTGGTAGTGCTGGAAAAAGAGGAGACACAAATACAAGTTTCTTGATATAATCAAATGTTTCGAGAATCAAATTCATTTACTCACTAGTTGGCCATCTTCTATTGTCGATAGTTCCACCATCAACACCGTTCAATAGGTTGAACCAAAATTGTTCCAAAGATTGAGCCTCAGGATATCGTCCAGATATACCAGAGATAACTAATAAGTTGTAAGGTATTGACGCCATGGCGATATAACTCACAGAAAAAAAATTTTATCAAATAAACGAAATCGACAAGATCATTTATATTTATACCCGTAAAAAAGGTCAACATATTAGCAGGGGCAAAGCCTCCGCCTCTGGCCCAAACCCACTTTGTCCCTTCCCCTTTTCTTAACTTTTTATTTTCATCCTCATTCAATCTTTCGCAACACCAAGAGAAAGAGAGAGAGAGAAAGTCCATCAATTTTGCGTAGATTCTTAAATGTATTAATATTAATAATATGAATTTTCTGATTCAGAATTTTCATTAACATCATCATAAGAAGAGCAACTTTAATCTGATCTTCTCTCTCACTTTTCCACTGCTTAGAGAGATTCAAATTCCACTTTCCAACTAATTATCATCATGATATTCACACACTGCTCTCTCTCTCTCTCTTGGTGTTGCGAAAGATGGGATGAGGATGAAAAGTGAGAGAGATTAATGTTTTTTTCTTCAGAAGAAAAAAGTAAACAAGTAAGTTGTAAGAAGAGTTTGATAGAAAAGAATTTTCTGTAAGGGTATGAAAAGTTGTCCATAGAATATAAGGAGCATAAAATTTATGATCTGAAAACTTATCGCTGCGGAGAAAAAGCGACCTGAAGTTCTAACTTCGAACTTGATTTTCTCGAAAACTACTCATCAGATCAGAAAAAAATAAATATATTTGGACTTCATATTCGTGGCACTACAAATACACAAAGTTTCAACTCTTAACTCAAAACTAACATTCGGCGACCATCCTCCTTATACAGCCATCGACTTTGAGTTTGCAACCACTTTTAATTTACTCGCGCAATTACTGATAATCAGTCAAAGATAAATCTAATCAGATGACCATTGTAAAAGATAACACCAGATGAATGAGAGGACATTGATTATTATCATATCTTTGGATTAACTTAATCTCTCATTGATTATCATTATCGTCGCGAGTAAATTAAAAGTGGTTGCAAACTCAAAGTCGATGGCTGTATTTCAAACATTACCTTATTTAGTATCATTGTCAATAATAAGGGGAAGTTAAACTAATGAATGAGCTGGATAAAAGATAACGATGTGATAGCAAAAAACAGAACGAAGCAAATGAATCAAAGTTAATTGTGACTGTTATATTAATAGTTAATCAGGCTGATTGATTTAACTTAGATAAATTAAGTGGATTCACCATTAAGAGGTTAGCAAAAATGGTCACCGTAAAGTTTGAATGGTGTCCAAGATTAAGAAACTGGTCACAACCAGATAGAGATTAAGATTAACATTAAACAAGGAATGAAGGTCAACTAGTAAAAGAAAAAGTTGACCAAATATGATAGAGATGATGGAGAAATAAAGTAAAAAAAGTTTTTTCTCTTTTTCGTCTTCGTCTTCATCTTTATCTTCATCTCTCTTTCCCTCTCTCAAGTGACCACATAGATTGTTTTCTTTGTACATAAAAAAAACATTTCCAATAGAAATGAAAAGTTTTCTAATCGTAATTTTCTTAATATTTTGTGTACATTTTGATTCGACTTTCGGTGATTTGGACACTTATTCGGTACAATGTTCATCTCTTCGTACCAACGGCTATGTGATGATCAGAGATCGACCCTGTAAAATAATGGAAATGAGTAATTCCAAGGCTGGTAGACATGGTCAAGCAAAGGTAATAAATAATTCTTATTCTAATGATGAAATTTTCTTCAGGTAAAGATTTTCTCATTTTTTTATTTCCTTTTGTTACTTGACAACATTCAGGTCAAAATCGTCGGACATGATATGTTTACTGGTAAAAAGTACGATGATCTATGTTTACCTTCTCGTAATATTGAAGTTCCAATAATCTCACGTACCGAATATCAGCTGATTGGAATTGACAATGATGGTTTTAGCACTTTAAACGATGAACATGGTAACACCCGGAAGGACATTCGACTACCTGAAAGTAAACTTGGTGAAACAATTAGAGAAAAATTTAAACAAAATGTCGAACTTATTGTCACCGTCATGTCAGCAGTGGGCGAAGAGGGAATTGTGGCCTCAAAAGTCCCCTAATAACATCCAACTGATCGAATGTTCCATCAATAATAATAATCGCCAATGTACAATTAATAAAAACTCGAGAAAAAAAAATCAAATCAGAAAGAACAATTTTCCTAAAAAAGAAAACAAAAAATAGTTTAATTTCCAACCAAAAGATGGCGCTGCCTTTAGAAAAGTAAATGAAACAATTGAAATGATCAAAAATTGAGATTCAGAATTTTAATTGTTATCAAATTGTTGATTCTATGAATACAATTAAGTAGTCAGTCGTTATTAGTATTGAAACAATGATAAACTTGAAACCTTTTTCTTCATATTGATTTAATTCAACTTGAAGTATTGAACAAAATGAAAGATGTAGCAAAGAAATATAAATGAGCTAAATTGTCAACAATTAAGGTGTGGAGACAATTAACGATTAACTAAATTTAATAATAGAGTCAAACAATGATTTCTTCAAGTGTTAATGAACATGAAATGATTTTTAATTCACAATTAACGATTGTAAGACATTTTTACCTTTCCCTTTCTCGTATGTGTTTACAATCGTAACAATTTAATTCTCATCTTTAATTGTTGTTAAGTTATCATTTTCAAGATCATTGATCCATTTAACTAATCAACTTAATCAACTAATCGTAAATCTAACCTTAACTATATATATATAAAATTGTAGACAAGTAAATGATTAAAGAGTGAGAGTGAATTAGTAAAGTAACAATCCCATCATTTAGTGAATGATTAATACCAACAATTAACTTGATCAGTGACAATTAAGTAACAAAAAAGTTGCACCTAATTGGGATGATTAACAATTAGATTTACCAACGTGCTGATAATATTAATATGACAATTTAAATTTAAATAAATCAAGAAACTCAATCAATAGGAGTTGTTTGAGTTGATTTAAAGTTTGATTAACTAATCAAAGTTTTTAACCAACAATTTTGATTGTTAATTGTGAACATAATTTAACAAAAAAAGCTTCAAAATTAAAGGTTAATATTAATTTGAATCCTAATATATTTTTCAGGTCAATTGTGTTACACTAATGGTAATAAAATTAACTAATTGTGATTAAAACAAGTATCGATAATAATCAAAAATAATGTTGATAACCTAATATATATTTTCAGTTGATTGTTATTAGTAACAATTTAACTTGATTGTTGACAAAATTAAATTCAAAGATTCAATGTCAATCGCTTGTTGTTTTTTTCTTGTTTTGATTGTTATGATTATTAAATTACAATTAACTTAATTTAATGTTTGTTTTTGTTTCTATTTTTTTTTGCAAACTCTTTCTGAATGTTTACAATTTAGTTGATCATTTATCTAATTGTAATTAAATTGATTGTTGTAGGTTAATTTTGACAAATTTAAATTAACCCTTTTTTCTGATCACACAATTAAAGGTCACAATTAACTCTGATTTTGATTGTTTTTAATGTTTTTTTCAGTATTTCTCCTTAATCAGCCTATTAAAAGTAAATATATATTTTGTAAATTAATTGATTACAATTGAAACAATTAAACTTGAATAGTTGAAAGTTTCAGGTTATCAGATCATTTAATCAAAAGTAATTAACCTAATCAACTTAATTTAGCATAAAGATCATCCAAATCTAATTGCTCATCAACAATTATCTCATAAAGATAATCAATCACTAATTGTTACAATTATAAAGTCAACAATTAATAACCTCAAAAAAAGGACAAAATTGATCAGGTAAACATCAACATGTTAAATCACAATTAGTAAATACAATCAGGAAATGATTTAAATTTCCATTGGTGAAAAAATGTAACATCATTAACAATCTAACCCTTAATTATCATATAAATTAATTAGCATTAAATTTGACCATTAGATGATGAAAATTGTTACATTGAAAAGGGAAAACAGCAATTTATCAACAATCAAGTTCACAATTAAATATCAAATTAACAACAAAAAAAACAACAACATCAAAACAGGAACTATTAAAATCCTAGCAATCAATTATATAAAATCTTGTGCAATACAAAACATCAATTGATAATCAGGTAATTTAAAAAAAAAGAAACAAGAAACTTAAACAATTAGTTAATTGCCAAATATTAATAATGATAAACATTGAAAGTATTAAAACTGACCATTAACAAGGAATGAAAGAGAAAATTTTTTTAATCGAAAGTTAAAAAATTCATCTTATAAAGAGCCACTACTCATCCTTAGGGTTTAAATATCAAGATGATGATGATGATGGAGTAGGAAAAGAAGAAAAAAAAATAGAAAGAGAAAAGACAGTGAGAAATAGTTGGGATAACGATGAACTTGAGGAAAAGTTAACTGGAAAAGGTCACCATGACGGTAACCATGTTTTTATGGAGCCCGAAACGCAAACCGGTCTGAATAATGACCGAAACCATGTTGGACTTTCATTGAAAGTCTTATGTACCTAGAGACGTAACAACAACAGCAAACATTTTTAACGGACTTTGTTTACTTGTGTATTATTATGTTGGCCTCTCTCTCTCTCTCTCTCTCTCTCTCTCTCTCTCTCTCTCTCTCTCTCAATCTCTCTCTAGGTGTTGCGGAAGATGGGATGAGGATGAAAAGTGAGAGAGATTTGTGTTTTTTTCTTCAGAAGAAAAAAGTAAACAGGTAAGTTGTAAGAAGAAGATGCTGATAGAAAAGAATATTTTTCTTTCCATTTTTTCATCATCATTTTCTTTTTTCATCTTCTTCTTCTTCTAACGAAATGATTACATAAATTGTTGCTATTACACGAAATTATAATTAACAATGGGATGAGGAAAATGCTCTTAAATCATATTCGTTAAATCATAAATGAGTAAATGCTCAACAGGAAAATAAGAAAGAAACAAAAAAGGAAAGAGTTTAATTGTTTGCAGGGTTAATCTTTAGTTGCAAACAATTAACTGTAATCATCTAAAGGGTAAATATTCAATTTTCAGCAAATTGTTGATTGATAACAAATCAATTTTGCAATAGTTAAGCAAATCACTTGGAAAATGCTGATTGAAAAAACTATACTATTGATAACCTTGTAGACTTTGCTGTGCAATCAACTAATTGCTACCAATGGCTAATTCGTATTCACATTTACACCCACAAAATCAACAACAATCAAAACAAACTGTCAACTGCTTATCAAAGGTGTTTCATATCAAGCTAATTAACCAGAAAGAACAACAACTATTTAACTAATTAACTAGATGACAATTAGATAATATTTATTTTTTGTTTCTTTAGATGAGAAATTGATTGAAACAATTTCTAATGGTGAAAGAAAAGTTTTTCCAACTAATGGTAACATCTAACGTTAAAAATGAATACACACCAATGTGAATGACGTGTGAGTGGTGGACCTAAGAAGTGAATGACCTACGACTGAATTTAGAAGGAAAAAAAATATTAAAAAGAAAGAGATTCTCATCTTACCTTACCTGTCTTTTTTACCTGTCGACAACTTTTCTCTCTCTCTCTCTCTCTCTTACTCTCTCTCTCTCTCTGTTTCTCTGTCTCTTTTCATCTCCTCTATCATCATCATCATCATCTTAGCAACTTTCTTAGTAAACTTTCTTGTTCCGCCTTCAAGGTAGATTTCCCTTCCTGAAAGAGGAAGATGTTGAACTACCCAGGTAAAGGTAAGTAAAGAAAGAAGAAGATAAAAAAATGATGAAAAGAAAGTAAAACAAGAAAGAAGATGATAAAGAAAGGGAGAGAGTAAGAAGAGTGATTTAGATATCATCTTCATCTTCATCATCATTATCATCAATATTGAGCTCTCTCACTCTCTCACTCTCTCCAGCTCTCTCTCTCCTTTTCTCTCTCTTTCTCATTCTTCTCTCTCTCATTTGAAATGATATCACTTTTTTTGTACACAATTGATTTGAACGTTTGAAAACAATTTGTTTTGATTACGATTTTTTAAAAAGTCACACCTTGATTAACGTTGCTCGCAAAAATTAATAATCATCAGTATTATTTTGTCAACAATCAACAATCAACCAGTATCAACATTCATAACAATTAACTAATAGTTTCTCTCCTATTATTATCATTTAATTTGTTAAATCACGAACGAGAAAGAGAGTGAAAATCATTGATTCAATTCAATTGTCATTCTAACTGTTTATTATTACTGTTTGTTTTATTGACATCAACATGTTAATACCCTGAATTAACCAGATCCTTGATTAATTTACTTCAACCTCGAACTGATTGTTTGTCTAAATTGTTAACAAACTGATATTCAGTTTGATTGTAATGATCCAACATTAAACATCAACAAAAGTTTCATTTTTTTCAGATCAAGTTCAAAGTCGAAAATTAATTTGCTTCTTCATCAATTAATTGTGTTCTAATCAACCTCTAATAGATTAACAGAGATTAACTCAACAATGCCCATTGGATTAGTTAATTGAGATGGAAAAATGTCCATTCATTTAAATCACAGTTTCCTTAATCATCAACAATCAAGGATGTTATTGTTTCTACTATTTGTTAACCCAACACTGATTGGGATCTAAATTGTTTGCAAATTGTGATCAAAAATTAATATCGATTGTGTGTTAAAACCTTAGGATTAACTTTTTTCAAATTTTACTTCATTTAATTAGCTAAATTGTTACAATATGTGAAATTTTAATACCCAAACCTTGGATATAATAGATTAATAATTAACTAATTGTTCAACAACAACGACAACAATTAACTGTTTCAACGATTTATAAATCATCAACTCATTGGTATCAGCGATTGTGATTATTATTAAATTATGTCTTCTTCAGGTAAATTATTATCATTATCGTAATGATTCAAACTATTGCAATTGATTAACAATGTTTTCCAACAATTTAATCTGATTTAAAGTTAACCTCATGTAACCTTTGAGCTCGTATGTTTAGCCCGTTTGGCTATTTGAACTACTTTTACTCGGAGAATAGACTTAAACCTTGAACTTGAAAAGTTATGTTTCCATATTGAGAAGATTTTAATTGTGATTAACTAATTGGATTAACTTGAATTTCTTGAAATCTATTAATAATAAACGATATGAATGTCGATAAATTGTTAGATGACAATCAAAATGAATTGATTAATTGCTACACATTAGTTTGGAAAGGTTATTAAACTATTTCTGTGATCACAATGTGATTAACTGAATTAATTAATTTACTTTTTTTTTCTTTATACTTAATTGTAGATTTGTGTAACTATTCAATTAGTTAATTAGAGTCAGGGCGAAAAATTAACTTTTATTTTTTGGGAGAAAAAAACAAGTTCGAAAGAAAAAAAGTTCTAATGAGTTCGAATCAAAAGTATTATAACTTTTTGACCCTGAATTTTTTTTTCTTTCATCACAAGTTAATCAAATTTGACCCAATTGATTATTTGGAGTTTAAAGTTAGTCGAAATCTATTATTTAATCAATTACAATTAGCAAACAGTCAACAATCAACATAATCAATAGTTTAGGTTAATGAATGGGGTGAATTTTTTTTTTCTTCAAAGTTAATTGTTGATTATACTTTTTTTTATGTTGATAATCAACTTGAGGTAATAATAATTATTATCAACTGGTTCAATTGTTGATCATTGGTAACAATTTAATTTTGTCCTAATCATAATTATCAAAATTTAAACATATAAATTGATTGGAAGCATGAAAAACAATGTTGATTGTAAAATTTGATTGTTTTAAGTTGATCAACCATTTGATTATCAAGTGATTTGAATTAGTTAACTAATTGATTAACTTTAATTAGTTGACATTAATTTAGTTTTAATTGTTTTCACTTTTACATATAAATTTGATTGTTATTATTAGGCAAAAAATTAATCAATGTGTAACTTATATTGCTGCTAATTTTGTCCTGACAACAATCAAACTGATTATTAATATTATTAATGATTAATTTTGTTAATTAGTAATCACAATTAAGTAATTGGCTGTGGCTTGAGTTGATTGTTACTGTTTCAATTGTCAAGCTCAATAAAATCAAATCATTTGGAATCAATCAATTAGAAAATGTTATTGTAAAAATAACACTTTTTGATTAATAGAAAACAATTTGATCTTAATTGTTACCAATCAGCTGATTGATAATATGACTCTTCCTAATCCTAAAGTTATAAGATCAACAAATTGTTACAATTAACTTTAAATTGTCACAGAGAAAACAAAAGCTTTCTAATTGAGTAATAATTTGATTAACATTAGTTTGGGAAGCGAAATCAAGTTCAATCTAAAAGATAATTTAGTTAGTTAATTAGTTAATTAAGTTTCTAAATGAGGATTATCATGACAATCCCAATTGTTGAAATGTTTTTTTAATTGTGATGCGTCAACAATTAACAATTTTACCCTTTTAAGTGAGGTAATTTAATGGCTAGTGAATTAATTGTGATTAAATTTTCTCACAGAAAATCAGTTAATTATCCCAGAGAAAACAATTTAATGATTAATCAATTAGCATCAAAGTGAAAGATTCAAACTTATCATGTCAACACTGAATTGAGATTGAAAAGATTTCATTGTTATTATAATAATATGAAAACTTTCATCATGATTATTATCAAGTTAATTCATTGAATGTATTAACCCTGAACTCTGAGTTTGATATTAAAGTTTCAACTAGAAAAAGTTTCAAATCCTCTTCCGGTATCGATAATATCAGATTATCATCATGATATTTAACGATGATGATAATGATGGGATGTAGGAGGAAGATGATGAAATGATGATGATGAATGAATGAAGAAAAGAAAAACTTGACAAAGATAAAAATTCATGAGAATTTGAATCAAAGTTTCATGATGAAAATGAATTTTTTTTTGCCAGAATTTCATTCATTTATTGTTACCTTAATGATTCATTTCATTAGCTATTAATTGTTGCAGTTAATTAGGTTTATCAGTTTCACAACAATTAGCTAATTGTAAGTTTAATGTCAATTTGTTTTTTTTTCAATTGATCAGAAAATTTTGATTGATTTAAATTGTTGCTATTATTGATTATTTATGTACTCACAATTTTGATTGCCAACCATGTAATTGAAGTTAATTGCAATTAAACTGTTATTAACCATGGTTGTTTAAATTGTTGTCTCTACATCTTGTTAATCAATCAATAACACAAACTAACAATCAGTTTAATCAATTCAATCATTTTGTTTCATCTCGGATCATCTAATAATTTGAATCATCATCAAAAAATTAATTTTGATTGCAACAATTAAATCAATATCAGTTTATTGAATTGAGAGTCTCACTCACCTATATTCATACATAAATTAAATTGTCACAATTAAGCTTAATTATGTTGGAAAACTCAAAGTAACATATTAAATGAATATATCGAAACAATTAATTAATCATTTGGATTGCATCAAATTCAATATTATTAGAATGAAAAATATCTTTAATTACCAAATATTGATCATTAATTGTCACTTGCAGTTACTGGATTTAGAAATAGTCAAAACTGATTAATAATTAACTTGATATTTGATTAAAAATTAATACAAATCTAAACAATTTGCAAAATAATATAAGTTATTTAAGCTCATCGATAATGGTCACTAAGGGTCAGTTTCTTGTGATGAATACAAATCAGCTGAAAGTTGAAACATTGTAAACTTTAATTCTCAACAATCAAGTTTATTATTCTGATTAAAATACAATTTAAATCTTAATTGTTCCATTGATTAGGTCGAGTTGATTTTTTGGGCATCGATAACGCGACTCTGGACTTCAGTCAACTTGAGGATTACATAAATGACGAAGAGGATCCGAATGAATCAATGTAAGTTAAATTGAATCAATTTCCATTTCTACAATTAACTTAATTGTTACTTCATAATCTACATTGAATACAAACTCTAATAATCAAAAGTACTGATTGTTCAAACTAATTCAAGTTCTTACCTTAAATAATACAATCAAGGAAGTTAATTCAACAATCAACTCAATTTCTCCAGACGAGAAAATTTTTTAATCAACAAGATGATTAATTTTTGCTTCGTCTAGTCGTTAGTAGATTTAATTAATTCATTTGATTGTTTATGATGTTATGAATCAATTACAATACCAATTAGACAATTAACAATTTAAGTAACACCGTTGATTGTGTTCAAAGAGCTTATTATTATTGGGAACTGGTTTTCTAATGGTAAACATTGAACATCACAATCCAATTGGAAATCAAGTTAAACAGGCTTGACCTTATGAAGATGAAGATGATGAGGATGAGGATGCGGATGGAGATGGAGATGAAGATGAAGATGAAGATGAAGAAGGAAGTTTTTTTCTTTGTGATTAAGAAAGAGGAAGAGAAAGAGCCTAATGATGACCATTTGAGGGCTGGGCAGTTAATGGAAGATGAAAATTATCAGAGAAGTGAAAAAAAAAATATTCTGATAAATATTCAAATTGATTATCCTAAAGATTAATTAATTGTCTTGAGAGACTTTTTTGTTTCCCAATTTAATTGTTGTTGTAATACTTTTACCTACAGTTAATTGTTTAATTGATTTTGTAATTAGGTGTTGATTATAATTGTTGAGGAAGAAAAAAAAATTACATCATAGATTCAAGTTGTAATCATATTCGAGTTTGTAATTTACAAATTCTGTAAACAATTAAGCTCATTGACTTGATAATAATTAACATTTATTTGTAATTGTTGATCATCATTATCATGTAAATTAACTGATTGTTTAACCGTAAAAGTATCACGATTAACTAATAGAGAGAAATCAATGATTCATTAATTGTAATAGTGATTTCTTTGATTGTTTAACCTTGAATGACCTTTCATGTTGATTACAAATCTAAATCAAAGGGATTAATCAATTTAGGGGCAAAATTTAAACGGTCGCAATCAAAATTAATCAGTAAATCAATATTGAAAGTGTAACAATTAACATGACATGAATATTTAATTGTCAAAGTGATAAATTGTTACAAATTATCAATAAACAATCAACACATTAAAATAAATATTAGATGATCAAAAAAAAGGTTTGGTAACAATTAATATTTTAAGATCAATTCTGTTTTAATTGTTTGAGTGTATTTATTGATCTGATTATCAATTAATTGTTACAATTATCTTTCAAACTTTTTATATCTTTTTTGATTGTTGACAAAATGAAACAATTTGAATTGATTGTGATACAAGATAATTATGCAAACTTTTCAGTTGATTATCAATTAACTATTGTATAAATTAGTTAATTGTTATGATGAAAACAGTTATTATTACAATAAAATAAGTATTCATTTTGATTGTTGATAATAAATATCATTAAATTGTTAAGGATTGATGTTAATTTAAGAGAGATGTGAAAGTTTTAGTGTTAATTGTTGTACTTTGATAATGACAATCAACTGAATCAAAGGGTTTGGTTTGCAAGTTACAATTAACTAAATTGTTAACGGGTGGATAAACTTTGCTACTTAATCATTACATTTACATGCACTGATTACTGAATAAATTTACCAACTAATCAATGGATCACATATTATTTTACATTAATTAACTAATTTTTACAATTGAGAAAATTAATTAATTGTTGCAATTGTTTTTCATCTTTTCTCATCAATTTAAATCTGATATTTTTCAAGTTCACTTTCAATTATCACAATTAAAAGGGCATCAATCGGGATGTTTATGATTAACTGATTGCTCGATGTGAATGTTAATCATCGTAACAATTTAACTGATCAGGTTGATTGGCTTTTGGGTTAAAAATGAGTTGATTGTTAATTGTTAGAGATTTTCTTGTCAATGATCTTACAATTAAGTTAAAATTTTCAACAATTAACAATTTGATCAATCATCTTATGATGGTTGTACTTTAATTTGATGGGAAATTTATTTAATTGCTGACAAAACTTGAATCATTTTCTGTTAATATTGATTTGATTGATTATTTAACACTACGAGCAAACTTGATATTATTATTAAATTACGACAATTAAAATCAAATATCAATGAGAACAATTTTTCTCTTAAAAATGAGTCACTAATTCAATTGCTAATTGTTTCCATATTAAATGATTAATCTATTGTTAACAATTAGTTGATTGAAATTTAACAAAGGATTTTGTTAACTGACCACTCACTCTAACTCCCATCTAATCAGAGTTACTTTTAATCATCCGATTGATTCTGAGTTTAATCATTGTAGTGATTGGAATAAGATCACAATTAGTTAATTACTTTCAAGTTGAAAACTTTTTTTTTCTAACAAAAAATCATTAATTATGATCTCATTAAGTTTCTCTCATGGACACAGTTACTTTAATGATAATCTGGTAACTGGAGATCTCAAGTTACCTGATTCCCCGCATTCAGTAAATCACCTTAAACTGCCCACTGGTCATTTAAACTTGGGTACTAATAATATCACCGGAGGTGGCAGATTACCTGGTGAAGCGGTTCAGCAGTCACAAGTTTCCTCATCTCAGTCTTCAGTTGCCAAAGGTAATATCGCCTCGATCGCTAGAATCTCTAGTGTGACCACACTTACGGTCAGCGGAGGAGGAAACGGCGGTGGAAGTGTTAACTCACCCAATTTACGTCCATCGTCTGTACAAATCAACCAAGGTTCAAATTTACCGATTGACCAGCCAGGAAGTGGTCACAATAGTAACAATGGTAATGTGACCAACGGTGAAACAGAGGTCAGTCCAACGATTCATCATTTGACACAAATTCAAGCCAATCATCAGCACCTTCAGCATCATCACCATCAACAACAACAACAACAACAACATCCACCTCATCTTCATCAACAGCAACAACAGCAGCAACAGCAACCATCACATCACCAACAACAACAACAACATCATCTATCACATTCTCATCCTCATCCCCACCATTCACACCAACAATTACAACACCATCAACATCATCAACCTCAACCTCAACATCAACACCATCAAAGTTTCACATCATTCAATAAGCATCCTCATCATTTACCTGAAAGTCCACCCGATTCGGGTTCCGAGCCACCCTATTCACCACCAAATGATGAAAACAGAATGAACAATTCTAATCAAGTTATCCTTGGGTCAACACTGACCAATAACAATTCCCAATCCTCTCATCAGAATAGTAATAGTAAAATGATTCAATCAAATTCAATTGATAAACATTTTAATCACTATAATAGTAATACAATTAAATTGCTACCAAATACCGATATTAACGGATTAACATTACCACCGAATCATATTCAATCAGTAAGTTTCAACAAATTGCTACAATTAATTTAATTCTCCATATCTTGATATTAATCTTTATTTTCTCACCTCAATGTCCAGCCTCGAAGTGGTTCAATCAGTGGTGGTCAGTTGAATAATCTTCATGGTCTCAATGGTCAGATACAAGGTCATCCCGATGAAAGTATTTTAAATCATCATCTAGGACAATCCTTGATAACGGGCCCAATTAATTTACAATCACCGAGTATTATATCAGGATTATCACCATTATCATCAACTGGTCAGCCACATTTGACCACATTATATCCAGGTACAAATGATGATGATGATGATGATAATGATAATGATATCCTAATAGTAGCATCTAATATAATTAATAATCTCGATGATGTTATTAATATAACAGGCGGAGGTACAAATGGTTCAAGAGATTGTATTGAAACAATAGACATACCTGGTCAATCAGCACAACTTACTAATGGTCAACAGCAGCAGCAACAAAATGACCATCATCAACAGTCAACAGGATCGATGGGACAAAATGGTGGTCAAAATAAGAAACGTCGACACTCTGAATCTCCTAAAAATGTTGCCAATAATGTTCACGTTAAACAAGAGCCCGGAGGCGGAATATCACCTGAACCAGGTAATCGTGGGAGTATCGGTGGTACCGTTATGGTTTCCATGGAGGAGGAATATGGCTTTGATTATAATACCAACACTGAGGGGCCACCAAGTGTTTACCTTGATTCAGCCTATCAGTGTATTAGATTTCAAATATTTCAACAATCAGCTTGGCACACACTTTGTGATGCCTCATTAAAGGATTTGTAAGTTGTAACAATCAATTGATTAATCGATTCATTGATTAAATTTTTTTTTCTTTTTTGAATCACTTTTACTCTTCTCAGGCCTGTGCCCAATTACCGGGTGGATGCTGACAAAGGTTTCAACTTTAGCAATGCCGATGATGCGTTTGTTTGCCAGAAGAAAAATCATTTCCAGGTTACCGTTCATGTCCAACCGATTGGTGATCCACAGTTCGTAAAGACTCCGGACTCGGTTCGTAAGGTGGACAATTTTTATCTTCACTTTTATGGGGTCAAAGTGGAATCTCCAAGTCAAACAATTAAAGTTGAACAATCACAATCAGATAGAAGTAAAAAACCATTCCATCCAGTATTGTGAGTATCAAATGGTCACTTTTATATATTTTGAGGAATCGTTTCCTTGTTATTTATCATTGTGCTTCTTATATTTTCATCTTGTTTAGAATTGAATTATGTCCAGATCAAGTGTCAAAAACTACGGTGGGTCGTCTTCATTTCAGTGAGACAACGTCCAATAATATGAGGAAAAAAGGTAAACCCAATCCTGACCAGAGATATTTTTACCTGGTGGTCAGTCTTTGTGCTCATGTTGGTGACCAATCCTATCCAATTGTTAGCCATGCATCTGAACGTATAATTGTCAGAGTAAGTGGACATTAAATTGATCTGAATATTACATATACTAATCAACCTAACGGTACATTTGATACAGGCTTCGAATCCAGGTCAGTTTGAGAATGACATGGAGCTTTCATGGCAAAAAGGCCAAAGTCCAGAGTCAATTTATCATGCAGGAAGGGTTGGTATCAATACTGATCGACCCGATGAACCTTTAGTTGTACATGGTAACGTTAAGGTGACAGGTCACATAGTTCAACCCTCTGACCTACGAGCGAAAACCAATATCGAAGAGATTTCAACCCGTGAACAGTTACAAAATGTTGCCAACATTCGAGTGGTTAGATATCAGTTTACACCCGAATTTGCTCAACAAGTTGGCCTTAAAGATGAAGATATTAACGGAACAGGAATTATCGCTCAAGAGGTACAAAAGATACTTCCGGATGCCATTAAAGAGACAGGTGATGTTATCCTACCTTCAGGTGAACGGATTGAAAAGTTACTTGTAGTAAATAAGGAAAGAATCTTCATGGAAAATGTCGGAGCGGTTAAAGAGCTCTGTAAGGTCACCGATAATCTGGAGACTCGAATTGATGAATTAGAACGAATGAATCGAAAACTTCGACGAATCAATCGATTCGATAGTATAAAAAGTATCCTCTCGTCAACTTCGTCGGTGACAAGTGCAAGTACCGTTACCTGTATATCCAAGTGAGTAAATTGTTTACTATTCAATTCCAACAATTCACTAATTGTTTCACCCTTTCATTTCATACAATAGCTACAGTGGTTTACCAAATAATAAAAGACTTGCTTGTAAATTAACGCATCCCTATGATAACAATCAACCTCAACAATTACAATTTCAACAACAACAACGACGTAAATGCTCAAAACATACAAATAATAACAATGGTAACAATCAAGAAGACAATCAAGTTTGTACCAATCGTTTCATGCAATCAATCATAATGATATTGGTTCTAATCATGGCTTTTTGGTAAGCAATTAAGTTGAATTTCAAGCTAATCCAATTTGTAATTTACTAATTTTGTCTCTTCAATTTTTTTTCTCATTGTTTCTTAGTTTGGCTTCAATTGTAACACTTTACATCCTTGATTATCCTCGTCATCATAACAATCAGCTTAATCAACCTCATCATAAGGTTGACCATCAATATCAACACAATCCATTTATTTTGAACAACAATAATAGTCAATCATCTTCATCATCATCATCATCATCTCAGCATCAACCATCATATTCATATCTGTCATCAACATCACCATCAACAGTTACAATCAACAGTTATCATAATAATAACAATAGGAAACAATCAATTGATTCATTCTCAAAGTCTAGTTTACTTCCCTCTCATTCAGTGATTAACTCTGATCAGAAGAAAGTTCAACCAATCATTGATACTCAACGTAAGTATTTTTCGGACATTGGTCAGTTCAGTGGTCTTAATTAATTTCTTTTCTTGATTAACAGGAAGAACTGATAACTTGAAGCCATCTAGACCAACATCAATACCGATTTTGAAACCTCGTGAACTTGGACAAATTGTTGGTTGTCCAAGTTCAGGTCAAGAAATGGTCACTCTGTCTTCTTGTAATGTCCATTGTTGTCTTGAGAATGATGGACATGCAGAATTGAATATTCCAGTGATAGATGAAGCTGATGGCGATTCCTCAGGATCTTCATCATATGAAACATCATCTCATTCCGATAAGATCAACTTCCGATCACCGAAAGAGATTGAAACTGAAACCAAATCGAAAGACATTCTAAGAGAAGAAGATGAAAACTCGAAAAAAGAGAAAAAAACATCTTCTTCCTCTTTCATATCATCCCCACCACCATCATCATCATCGTCATCATCAACAACAACATCACCACCCTCACCAAAACCACAACGATATCCTTCAAAGGAGGAAACATTATCTCCCTCAGTTTCAACCCTGATCGTTTCAAGTACACCCCTGAATCCAAAGAGTCCAGTCACTTCATCAATCAAACTGACCGGTGAAAGTAACCACGTTTCCGAGGAGATTTCATCTCGAGCAAATCATGGACGATACTTGACCAGCGACTTTGGTCCATCCAGTAGTATAAGCAGTGTGAACAATATAATCGCTCCTGGAATCGAGACCGGATCTCATATTAATAACCTTGCAGTTGACAATAATTTCAACTACTCGACCATTGAAGTGGCCAATTTGTCTAATAAAACACTTGACCCAATTGAACAGCATCTTAATGCAAAGGTGGATTCATTTTCGAGTGATAAATTTGTCTCATACAACTCTCATCAGCCACCATCGAGCATTTTATACTCGAAAACGTCAACCGAGTACCGAGAGAAAAGGGAAACCCGGGAAGGTCATATTACCCGACAAGATCCAAGGGACAAATATCAAACGGGTTCACCTGGTTCACCGGCTGATTGGATTGATTCAATTAAATTGTTGGAGTTAAATGCTACCATTGGTCGTGAATTTTGTGATACTTGGCAGTGCGTCCAACAGGAAGGTCCACTGTTGACCTATTTAATTCCAATATCGAAGTACATGTCACACGAATATGTGACGCTACAATTCAGGTAATTGCCGAAAAGAAAAGAAAAACTATCTTTTATGCTTTCAGCATCACAAACATGTCGAACTAATTTCAATTTTTACCGAACTTTTCTATTCAGTCTGACCAGCGCACTCAAAGTGGACAATTGTGAGTACAGTGAGCGACCCACCTCATGCCCTTCACTCCCGCCGGGCTCAGTTCCTCACACTTATCATAGGCCGAGTGAACATTTACCGATTGCCGAAAGTAATCCAAGTTTCCGAATTCCAATTGGACTTTATCTTCGAAGTACCTACGTTTTTCGAGTTCTAGCCAAGGATCGAAATACAGAAACGGTAAATCATCACAATGATAAACCTTCAGAACAATTAACTAATCCAGTTATCTTTCTTTCTCTCTTTCTTTCTTACAGCCTTGCTCATTATCATCAAGTGAACTTGGATCATCTTACCTTGAGATTAGGCTTAAATTCAATCGTCTATGTGAAGCTTAGATGATTAACTTTTTTTTCTCGTTAATTAACTAACTTTTTTTTCGTCCAAACAATTAGTCTCATTTGATTTGTTAATACTCAACTGATTAGATTCATCATCATCATCATCACTTTGGACAATCAATTCATTAATTGTACATTGTATTCATTTCAATTTGAAACCTTATTTTTTTTATTCACTTGCTAAACAATTTACATAATTGTAATTAACTAATTCAATTGAAAAGCTATTCTGAGCTACCAATATCAAAATCAACAATTAACATGAACCACCAAAGTTATTCAATGAAATGAATTAACTTTGAGTTTGAGTTTTTGTTTAATTGTCACAATTAACTTTTTTTGACATCACCATCATCGCAATCATTATCATCATTAAATTTAACTCAGTATTAATCACTCAAATTTTAATTAAATCATATTATAAATATATAATTAATTTGGTTACACAAATTGTAATTAAAATGTAAAAGTTTAATTTCATCAAAATGTATCAACTTAATTGTTTTTTTTGTTTAATTTAAACATTTGCCTCTTGTAATCACAATTTCATTTAATTGTCATCTAATTTTGCTGTTGCTAATCACTGCTAATTATTGATTTAGCAATTGATTTTTGTTTCTATCGATCAACAATTAAACAATTACAACAAAAAAAAAGATCACCAAATCCTTGATTTCATTAATTGTTTCAAACCACTTCAAGTTTCATTAGTTAATTGTTGACTGATTATATTGCCAATCTTTTTACAATCTTTCAAACCATAAACTTATCACAATCAAGTTAAATGATCACAATTGATAAGTAACAATTTAACAATTAAAGTAAAGGGTTAATTACTGACAATACCTTCTCACATCAGTATTTATCATTGAACAATTTACTTCTTAATTGTCATCTAATGATCAACATTTATGACATTGGATACACAAAAAAAAGGTTCAATGGTACAAAGGAAAACTTAATTGTGCTGATTATAATCACAATTAAGATTCCCATCATCAATATATACGCTCAAAGATAGTGGATTAAATTAGGTATAAAAGTAGGAATTAACTTTGTGTAAATCAGTCAATCGACAAGTGAACATTGTGAAAGTCAATTAGTATCGTGAATTAAACAAGAATCAACTTAATCAACTAATTATGTCTAAATTAACTGTTTCAATTTTAGTCCTAATTGTGGCCTTTGTTACCGTCCAATGTAAGCTTATCGACGAAGTCAATCTTATTGGAAGCCAATCAAATAAGGCAGCGGAAAGTTCAGCTGATGGATTGACCGGAGCGGTGGCTGGAGACGGACTTATCGGAAGTGTTAACGCTATCGGAGTCCAAGAAGACCAAAAAGCCGATGAGAAATCAGTTGAATCAAAGCCCGAGCCAAAGCCCGAGCCAAAGCCTGAACCAGCGGCAACCAAACCAGATCTGGAAGCCGAAGCTAAATCTATTGCCCAACCTCTTGTCGATCTTGTGGGAAAAATCCTTCCATAAATGGCAGAAAGGTCAGAAGAATCGTGAGACATCATAATGATTAGTGGATTGTAAAATTTCAATTAAGGAAATAAGACAATTAAAAATATATTATATATTTAAATTCTTAATCGTTCAATATTTTCAATACAAATCGATCAGAAAATGCAGTTAATTGGAAATTTTTTGCCTCTTAACTGTCCTTGTATCAAAAAGTACATCAATCGGTAATTTGAACGTTATTCTGAACATATCCTTGAATGGCGCTACTGCCCGAACCTTTTTCAACTCGTAATCACCAGGTAATTTTGATTTAATTGTTTCCTCGACAAGTAAAGGTATCGAATCAATCGGTGATCTGTCTCGCTTTAAAAAGGTATAACAATGTACCATCGGCGGTATTACCAAGGGTTGTAGGGAACTATCATCAACTTTATCAGCCAATAAGCCAACAAATGAATCGAGAAATTCAACCGCCATTCCTGGTAGATTCATGAGTACATGGTAAGTCGGTTTAATAACAAATTCTGTAACCTCAGGGGAAGCCCATGAGCTTAGAAGATCGTCTCGAACAACAGTTCTAACAAATTGTCGTGCATCCATATTGTGAGCTGTCAACTTGGAATCAACTTTATTCAACTTGGAATTAACTTTAAGCCAGTGGAAAGCATCAGGATTCAAATCGTTGGCCAGAACTCGACAGTTTCTCTTTGCCGCTGGTATAGCAAAAGGTCCAATACCAGCGAAAAGGTCATAAACAACGTCACGACATTTGTCCAATCGATTTAGGAATCGAGTGTGTTCCGTGTTCAGTCTTGGATTCCAATAGACTTTGGCAAAATCAAATTTAAATGTACAATTGTTTGAGTGAACGGTAACTTGGGTTCCAAGTTTATCTGAATCAGGTTTTTGGGCTAATATTTCATGGGAAAAATTTCTGAACTTGGTGTCAATAATTTCCGCTTTGTTGATAATCAGGCTAACAGTTGGATTTGTTTCCAATAAAACTTGACCAATCAAATCTTTATATTGTAATTTCTCATCTCTTAGATTAACGTGTAATATATGACCAATTATCGACCAAGATTTGACCCTTTTCTCCTCATCAGGGAAAATGGCATCAATTATATCATGAACATTATAATTTCCAAAATTCAACTCAATCTCTTTCCAATGTAAAACAATTTCTTTGTACTTTTCAGTCAACATTTTCACAACTCTCTCATCTAAATTGTCCACTGATTTGACTAGATCAGGATTGAGTAGAATCATCTTATTACTGGAATGGCGATCAGTTTTCTCACCGTCACCATCATGAGTAATTTTGTGATCAGTTGATGAATCATTTGATTGGAAACATTGAATTGTATCAATTCCTTTAACGGTCAAGTATTGAGATTTTAAATGTTTGGCAATATTTTGGATAAATTTATCTTCCACCACAATATAAGGTACTTTGATTGTCTTCCGGAATAAAGTATGATCCAATTTAGTTAAATTAGCGACACATGAAGGCGGTTTCAAGATGGAATCGACGGAGGCCAATGTAGGTGACATTTTCCAAGTAGAAACAGTTAGAAGGGTTTTCTTTAATTTAACAAAATGTCGTCGCAATTGTCTGGTGAATCTAAAAAAAGCTTAATGACGAGAAAACAAAAACCAACAATTAACAATTAGATCATCATTAGGGTAAACCAAAAGATTAACTCTGATTGAGGCAAACAAGAGCAACAATTAACAGGTCATAAGATAATTAAAGGCTTACAATTTACCGTAGTCATGAAAATTGAGAATCCTGAGTGAATTATTATTATTATTTTATTGAATTTCTGTTATTCCAATCACTCAATGTTTACTTGTTTTGATGTTGTTGTTGTTGTTTTGATTTGGTAGTCAAGGATGATTATCTTAATTCACTTTTAATGTCACATTGATTAGATAACAATTAGTAAATGTATCCTGTTGTACTTGATTCCAAGAGAAAGTGAAACAAAATATTAATTACTTTATATTTAATATAGTAATCAAAGTGAAGGTGGTTAAACAAAATGGAGTCAAATCAACACTTGGAAACAAAAGTTAATCAAATTTACATCGACACTGGTAATTTACTTCAAAGTGAACAGGTTAAACGACAAGCGACACTTTTGCCCGATGAAGAGGTGAGTTTTAATTAGAATTAAAAACAATTAAATCAATTTAATTTGTGAAGAAAAGAGAATAGAAAAAAAATTCTTTTCTCTTTCAATGGTAAACATGTGAGAAGAACAAAAAATTGTATAGAGTTTCTAACATGTGATTTTTTTGTTCTTTTCTCTGTTGAGTTTACATTTCACTCTAAAAATGGAACAATTTATGTTTTTAGTTGATTAATTGTTCTTTTTAATTGTTTATTCTCTAACTTTTAGGCGATTACTGGATTGAATATCGCTGTTGGTTATTGGAAAAGTAGGAACCAGTTGACTACAATTGAAAATGATTCTAAATTGATTATAAGCCAATGTTTTGGTTTACCAAAGGAGAAAATTGATCCACAATTACGAGAAAACTGTAAAATTACAGTTAAATTGTTCATCTACGATGAGATAATTAATCTACTTGATGATGCTCTTGATTTTATTCTCAAATCTTTGAACACTGATTACTTGGATTCTTTGATAATTGCTATCCAATCAACCGGAGAAACCAAATTAACCATGGATAAGATTAAACGTCTTTGGAATTGTGCTGAAAAGATTGACCTTAAACAGGTTCGAGATATTGGATTATCTGATTTGGATACACCACAATTGTCAGAATTGTATCAATCGGCCAAGCTAATTAAACCCTCCAGCAATCAAATTAACCTTGAATCGTGTTGTGTTATACCTTCAGAGATGAAGGAATTTGCTCAAAACAATAACGTTAAATTGTTGACCCATAATGATCCCAAAGGTAAACCGATAATCACTAATTTTCTCAGCCTTTTAACTTTTGATTATCTTTCCTTTTATTAGATTTCTTGGCCGATGATAAATTCAGACAATTAATTTCATCCTGTGGTTTTGACAATCCATCTAAATGGTCAAGATTCTGGATCGCCAGATACACTAGTCTACAGAAACACAAAGGAATCGTTCAAAACAAAGGATACATTTTATCGGCCAAAAAAAGCTCTTAATCATCAACCATAACAACACCAACAATTAAAGTCAATTACAATTACGAGAACAACAAAACAAAAACAAAAAAGATTCACAATCGCGACCAAGAACCTTAAAGAAAATCATCAATCAGATGCTTGGAATGTCCAATCACAAGTCCGTCAACTAATTGAATCAAAACACTAACTGAATTTATTGTCAAATTAATCAGGAAAAAAAAAGTTCAAATGATTAAAAATTAAAAAGAAAACAAAACTAATCAACTTTGATTAATTTTCGGTTCCAATGTTTAGAAATTTAAACTTCCCTCCAAACCGAATGTCCAATCAAATGTGATCCATATGATCAAAGATTCAACAACATTGAAGATCAATGATCAACTTTAGTTCAGAATTTAATTGTTATCTATTTTTCTAATATAATTGTTTATTTATTGTTAATCATTTTTAATTATCTTTAAGTGTCACTCCAGTTAATCAACAGGGTTCAATGTCAATTCGTGATAAATTTCGTGATCAAATTCATGATCGGATAAAAGTGTTGGTCTTGGGCGATTCCGGTGTTGGTAAATCATGTTTGGTTAATTTGATTTGCAAGACTAACCTTTGGTCAAAGCCAAGCTGGACAATCGGTTGTTCAATTGAGATTTTACTCCATCAATTTAACGAGGGAACACCAAACCATCGGAGCTGCCTAATTGAATTATGGGATATCGGTGGTTACAAGACTCATTCAACTGCAAGAAATTTATTCTATCAATCTTATCATGGAATCATTTTAGTTCATGATTTAACTAATCGTAAATCTTATATTAATCTTCGTAAATGGTTGGGTGAGGTTCTCACTACCACCGAATCAACTACAAGTGGGTCAACTTCAATGGTTCCCTCATCACCTCCAATCTTAAATTCCACTGGTTATAATATGTCATCATCTTCATTTAATTCAAACTCTTTCGGTGCTGGAATCAATACTTCACCTTTAAATACAACTAATAATTATCGAGATCATTCAAATATATCGACAACCTATTCACCAAGTCAACAATTATCATCTTCTCTATCTTCACCCTTACTCTCCACTGTCACTTCTCCCGATGAGTTTGACATCGAAATATTTGCTGGTAAAAATATTCCCGTTCTTGTGGTTGGAACTAAAAAAGATCTTATCAGTCAAGAGATTAACAGGCCACCTCGAACTTCAACTCTTACCGAAGAGTGTGGTGCCTATGAGATAGAAATTAATTGCCTTGATAATCGAGCTTTCGCTCCGGGATTAACTAATTGTGCTGAATTAACTCGTTTCTTTGATAAAGTTATCGAAAGGAAATACACTTTATCCGATCGAATTAAATCAAATAGTTTACTCTTTAATAGTAAACGATCTTATCTCGATTAATTTGATCCAATCCAATTTTAATCCAATCGTTAATTGTACCATTCCGTTGATATAATTTATACAATACAAATCTTGTTTATCCACATGAAACTTTAACTGTCCTGTTGTCACCTTCAAACGAATTGATCAACAATAAATTTCACTATTGATCGGATCTCTTTTTCCCTTTTTTCAACTGTAATTCAACAAACAACAAATCAATTGCAATCGATTTTGAGTAAAATCAACAGTTGGGAAAACAATCTAATTAGGAGTTGATCAAATTGTCACTTTGATATTTATGATAGTAATTGTGAAGCAATTGATTTGCTTTTTACATTTGTTAAAGTAAATTAGCTTATTGATTAGAGACTAGATTTCTGGTAATGGTAAAAATTGATTACTACTAAAGAGTCCAAAATAATTTGGATAGTAAAATTTGTTTCAATGAAACGGGGCAGTGGTTATGATGATGAGGAATATAAATGATTTAGATTTTTATACCAAAAGGTATAAAAGATTAACTAATTTATCACAACTAAATTAACTCATCTAGGATCTTTCGGTTTCTCTACTAAAATAAGAGTGATAAATGAAACCAATTACACTGGTGGTAAACCAAACCACCGAAAGCCACCAAGACATGTAACCAAGGATTCCTCTGAAGAATATTGGATTGAAAATAGCTTTTAACTCTTTGAGACTGAATTGATCCGATGAACCAAATTGATAAGCTTCAGATTGTCCACTTGATTGACCAGTAAATAAGCTTGTCCATTGATAGTCTCCCATATTTTTCATCAAAATTCCAGTGAAAAGAATCAACAAAAGTGGACAAACGTATTGGAGGCAAACAACACACAGATAATAAAATACTCCTGAAACCTGTGGATAGAATTTCAAAAACATTGTGAATTCAATTGTAAGAACAATATTTTTTCGGATAATTACCGTTCGTTGAATAACTTCAGTTTTAATTTTACCCGATTCTCGAGTTAATTTACTTAATTTACGCGGAGCTAAGTTCAAATAGGCTTGTAGATACTTTGGCATCAGAATGAGACGGAATATCATGATTGAAAGGATGACGGCGATTCGAAGAGTGTCAAATGTGACCGGAGTCATTCTGTCATAATGGAAGAAAGAAATTTAGATGAATAATTGATGAAATGCTGTTGAAACGATCAAGCGAACTTACAAAACTCCCCTATTAGGCCATTCTTTTTCGGTGAAATATCCACGACCGATAGGTTTGATCCACAAGAGAATAATAATTAAAGGGAAATAAAAGCTGTATGGAACAAAAGTCTTTCCAAAGGAGAGAAGAATAGAATTAAAAAATAGAATTAGAATGGAAATTGGGTCACCAATTAATCATTAGGATGCATGACAATTACACATACTGTCTAATTGGTTTTCCTTCAGCATATTCTAATGAATCTTTGTGCATTTGAGCAAATCGAAGACCAGGAAAGATGAAAAGAGCACCAATGAGTCCGCTCCAAACCGCAAGCCAAAATTTGAAAAGCAATTTAGATGTGACACCTTTGGTACTTTCATGGAGACCATGAGCCTCAAAGAATTGAGTAGCACTTGAATTAAAGGAAGAATAGGCTGGATTCAATCCAAATTCGAGAAAATTTTCGTCAGCAATTAGAACAATCATTGAGAAAAGAAAGAAAAGGCAACCAGACACTAGACACATTGAACGTTCACCAATAGCATCATCATTTCCTTGGAAATAGATTCCAGTTATGGATAGTAAAAGTTTTCTACAATTAAGAAAGAGAAAAATACTAATTAGAATAGAGTCAAATTGGTTAAACGATAGTGTGTTACGGTACTTACGTAGTGAAACCAATGACAAGAAGACACCAAATTAGACTGAGATTCATTTCCCGACTTGCGGGTATCAAATAATATTGGACTTCGGAAATAATGTACACCAATGATGCATATAAGGCAAAATCAATTAACCATTGGTATTCTTTGTAAAAATTTAACTGAATTAAATCAATTGGATGAACTTTTCCGCTTCCAAAGTGAGTGATAACTTTTTAGAGACCATGTTATCGTCTATTTTACTTTTATCAGATCGATTTCCTTTCTTCCCTCTATGTGATACCTGTTTGGGTGTCTTGGATTTGCCGTGTTTACCATTTTTATCATCGCTTTGTTGTTGAGCTTTTCTTTCACTTTCTAATGTAGCAATACCACGTTTAATTTGCTGTTCTGTTGGTTGAAGATATCTCACTAATCTGTAATGAAGAAAGAAACATGATTCAACAGAAATTGATACAAATTGGAATCAGAAAATGGTTGCTTTTTGGTAGATTGACACAGATAAATTGAATGACCACTAACCGATGAGCAAGTAGCCATCGAGCGAAAGAGTAATGAATAGCGAATTTATGTAAAATACTCAACATCACCATTGTCACAACCAATTGGATACCAAGAATAGCCTAAGGGAAATAAAAAAGAAAACAAGAGAAAAAGAAAACAAAAATAAGAAATCAATTCATTTGAATATTATAATAGACTTACCATTGTTAATTGTACAATTAGAAACAATCTATTTTCTATCCAGATAAGTGATGAGATTTAATTGTTACCATAGAAAAACAAAGATGTGATGAGTTGAAAAAAAAGGTCCAAATAGAAAACCCAATTGAACAAGATTGAAGATGTTTATAAATGATGATGATACAAGTGAAGAAGAAGAAAACAAGATGAAACAATATTAACGATCCATGATTGATCATCAACCCATAATAAGTGATCAACAGATAAACTAATAAGAATTAGAGATTGAAAAAGAAACAATTAACTCAACTATTGGAAGTTAAAAAGTAAATCAGTTTCAAAAGCACAATAATAACAACATAAGAGCAAAAGATTTACAGAAGCACGAGAAAGAGTAACCATGGAGACACTTACAAAAAAGGAACGAAATTAAATCTGAAGAATTGGAAACTCAAATCAATTCTACTAATCGGAAATTAGTGAGAACAATTTGAAGAAATTAAAAGGTGACGATCCAAGTTGAACAATGGTAGAAAATTGATCAACGAGCAATAGTAAAGAAAAACAATCAAAGAGAAACAATTAAATGAAATGAAGCATAACAGTTGTCGACATCTTTGTACCAATAGAATAGTGAAATTTATCTGGACATCATGAATTCGGACAATTGCCTGGAAAAGTAAACAAGATACCAAATACATTAATCGATATTTTCAAAGGTAAACAAATATTAAATTACTGTTGATGAGAGGAAGAGGATGAAGACAAGAAGGATGAGAAATATGAATTGGATGAAAAGAGAGAGAGAGAGAGAAAAAAACCTTAACAATTCCATAAGAATTAGAAATAGATACAAACTAAGGTAGAAAGAGGAAAAAAAGTTGAAACCTCTGATTCTCTGTCAACCTTGTCAAAAGTCATCTGTCTGAATAGAAATACAATTTCAGTTTGTTTACCAAAGTGAAAGTAAATGTAAGAAGATGAAGAAAGAGACAGAGACAGAGAAGAAACAAAAAAAATGTCAGTTCAAAGAACATGAACTAACAAAGAGAACCTAAAATTATATCAACAATAACAAGAGAGAAAAAAGAATTACCTAAAAAAAGGAAAACAATCTTTTCCAATCTCACCAAAGAAGAGAAAAAAAATAGCATCACAACAAAGTCTTTTCCCTGGAAAATTCCAACCCGTTGAGCCATCACATGGGAAGAAGAGAGAATCCAAAATTGACCAGCAACAATTAACAATCCACTTGAATAGATGATGGAATTGACCAGTGAGAGAGAGAGAGAGAGACTTAATCCAACATGACATTTGACCAACGAAAAGTATATGAAGTCCAGACATAGAAGAGGGAAAAAAATCAATCAAGATCATTGTTGAAATAAAATTGTCAAGTTAATTACTGTCTCAAAATTAGATTAACACTCATATCATGATTACCATTACATGATAAAATACAGAAAAGAGGTGGACACATCCAAGTGAATCAAATGTAAGTTTATATCTTTTCAATCACTAAATCATGTTGACCATTTACCATAACAATTACGTTTCATCTTTGGAGCTTCTCTCTTTCTCTCCATCTCTCTCTCTCTCCTTTCAATTAGTTGGAGAGAATAAGGTAAATAAAAGATTGAATCAGGCTAATTGTTGAATGAATATGAATTGAATTTCCAATTAACATCTCATGTTTAACATGATACCAATGTTAATGTTAATTGAATGAATCAAATTGACGATCCACCAAAGTGACGCTATAATAGTGACGTTACAATGAGAACCGTTACTAACAGAATCCAAATTTCTATGTCAACCACACGAAGAAAGGTACAAATATCCGAGAGAGAGAGAGAGATTTCCTCTTCCATTCCTAAATCATTGTAGGCCTAAAGTGAGAGAAAAGAAAGAGAAATAAAAGAGAATAGAATATTAAAGCTAAAAGAGAATAGAAGAAAAAAATTCTACAGAAAAAGAAAGAGAAAAAGAGAGACAGAGGTGATTCTTTCAATCGGATCGATAAATGGAATTAGACTGAATATACTTACGCATACTCTAGATGAGGATGATGAGAAGATGAAGATGAAGATAAAAAGGGAGAGAGAGAGAGAGAAAAAAAAAAAGAAGAAGAGAAATAACAAAAACACCAAACAGAAAAGGAAAACAACTCACATGGAGTAGAAAAAGTCACCGAAAAACATTAACCTTTCAGAGAAGAAAAAATAATAGAAAAGTTTCAAATTCTCTGACAATCATCATCTCTAAATTACCGACAATTAACTGCAAGAATTAAATGTTCACTTGGAATAAGAAATCAACAGAAAAACCAAAACAACAATTAACAAGTGAAAGAAAAACATATTAACCTTTCACCGGTAGATGTCATTGGAATTTTAATTAACCCTTTTGATAAGAACGAAATTTTTTTTATTATGTGTTCCCTATTTCTTCATTGGATTCACCCAACAATTATTGTTATAATTAACTAATTGTTGATCTTTTACTCTTGTGAAGATTAATGTCTAAATCTACCAGTTAAATCGCCATCATCATCAGTACAATTTTATTGACTATCCAAAGAGATTCAACTTACTCTTGACACTTTTTCTGTTTTTGTGACAATTTTTGTTTTCTCTTTTCTCATTTTACCGACTTTCCTTTAATTTTTCCATGACAATTAAGTGTCACAATTAACTGACAACAATTGAAACATCGACTTACCGGTGTCTCTTTATCTATTGGACTGTTTTAAATTGTACACGATCGTTGGATCCATGGATTAGATGGACTTGCGGATTTTCCCAGTTACACCATTGGACAAATTTTAATCTCTACTTTTAATCTTAATCTTTGTCCTTTTATTATCATTTAATTTGTTGTAACATCATTAAGATAATCATCAACATCCAATGGTTAACAACATTTTATATAAATGTAATTGTCTCTCTCTCTTTCACTTGTGGTCATCATTACCTAACAACAGTAGTTACCAATCATCATCATCATCAACATCATAATTACCATACGAAACCATTAACCATCATCAGTATCCTCGATATATTTGTGTGTGTATGTGTGAATTTCATTTGAATTTATGTTACAATACACATTAAAATAACAGTTATTAATGGAAAGAGAATCAACGATTAACGAACAACCATTATAATCATCATCATCATCATCATCAAAATCTCTAATCTGAATATTCACCAACACAAATTGTGAAACGAAAATTAATTCACCAAGACAAGAGGAAAAAGAAAAGACTATTAACCAAGGAATCAATTGAAAATGAATGTAAAGGTAACATCATTAAACAATTACCTTTTTTTATTCTATTCTTCGTTTCAACATTTCGTCTCTCTCTCAGCATTTCCCTCCTTTTCTTCACCACCACCACCACCCCAACCACCGCCACTATTAAGAGCGTAAAGAGCTTAATCAAATTGTATATATTAACCACCAATATAATCAACCATTATCTCTCCCGGTTGTTTTATATTATCTACTTTTTTGTTTTGTTCTGCTTGTGGTATACTCAATATCTATTCAGTGAATATTGAATTTGCCTTCCCAACCAACCCAAAAATCATTAATCGTTTTGCATCGTAACACAATTAAATTGACGTTTAACCGGCAATACATTGATAGAAATTCATTCACCATCAGTACAATACACATAATAACCAATGAACTTTACATTTTCTCATTAGACTCAGGTAATAATAATATTCTTATTATTATCAGTAGGTAAAGTTGGTGAAAGTTCCAATAATTTCAGGCTCCATCAACATGATCACCAGGGAATGAGATGGAGAGATTAAATGTTGTAATAATTCATTTGCCTGGTTAAGAACAATCAACCAGTAAAGCAATAATCAATTACTCATTCTTATCAATGATTATCAAATACATAAATGATGATAATGATGCTGAGAAATGAATGATAACCAATGAAAAAAAAAACTTGAAACAAAATCTCATTTCGTTATGTATTAATATCTAATATTAACCATAGATAATTATAATCTTCCTCATTTTCCCCAATTTATACATGATAATCAATCAATTTGTAATCATTGATCAATATAAGAGACATTCAATTGTTAATGTTTAATATCGAGTCAAAATTTAATTGTTATCATTTTCGTGATATTTTTTTGTTGTTTACAGAAAATGATATTCAATGGTAAATCAGCTGATAGCATTTCCACCACCGGCATCATGACATCACCAACAACCATGACCAATATAAGTGTTTCAAGAGTGAAAAGTGCTCCAGTTTATTGTGAGGCTAAAAATAGCCATTCAACTGACCAATTAAAAGTAATGGATTGGATTAAAGTTAATCGGATACAATTAACAACCCTTTTGATTGCTCTTGTTTCATTTATCTGTTTTATCCCATCAATTTCAAACGATTTTGTGTTTGATGATATACCAACAATAATCAATAACAAAGATATTCGTCCGGAGAAAAGTTTAATAAGAATATTTTTCAACGATTTCTGGGGAACACCAATTAACAAGGTGAGTTACAAACAATTAACTGACCAACAAACAATACAAACTAAAGTTAACGTTATTATTATGTTACATAAGAGATTAACATTGACATTAACATTGAGTAGTTAATTATCAACATTACTATGCTTTAGACTATCAATACTTTAATAATAATTGTCGATAATATTTAATCCGATTGGATTACTATTGATTCAGTATTTTAAAAGTTTTTCCAATCAGAATTGTTTATCTCATCAATTTACTTTCTCCTCCATGTCCAGTATTTTGTTACTTCCTCTTTCTTATGGTCATTTCATAATCAACCAAATGTGAAACCGTTAAGCATAAAAACGAGCAAATGAAAAAGTTGGACAATCTTAAGACTCTTCACTTTCCTCTCATCAACATCATCATCATCATCATCATCTTTCATCATTCTCTTTCATCTTTGTTTACCTTCATTGATTATAATTATTTCTCTCTGAGTTCTTAGTCCAGTTTATCGTTGATTCATTCCCTTGTTTATCCATGTGTTTCTGTGTGTGTGTCAGTCTTCATCTTCCATGTGTATAATATGTGGATAGTCTTCTGTTTAATTTCATCTATTATTTGTTTCTTCTTGTCTATTCATTTTCTCTTCCTAATCATCATTATCCCTCCTCCCTCTCTCTTACTGTCCATCGTTTTTATCTTGACCATCTTCACAACTTTTCTGTTTATCTTTGCGCCTGTCGTCTATTCTCATCACGAAGATTTCATCATTATCATCAGATGATAATGATAATAATACAACCTGAAATAACCTAGAACCCAGTCTTTGGTCAATATCATTGTCATTACTGTTTATTAGGTAGAAATCATATTCTTGTATTTTTAGTCATCATCGATATTGATGTTTATCTCAACGAAAGAGAGGAAAAAGAAGAAAAAAATTCTCTATTTTCTTTATTCATCAAAGAATCTGTAAGTAAATAATGATTCCTAGTGACATATTTATGCCTTTTCCATGATTACTATTATTATTATCACCTCGATCACCATTATTACAATTATTGTTCGTTATTTATACTCAACATTTTGTTATTATCTATCAAGATAAAGTGATAATTCAGCTCGAAGCAACCAAAGAAATAAAAAAGAAAGCATGACAATATTAGTAGAGAGAAAGAGATAGAAAGAGAAAGGGTGAGAAAAAAAACAAAAAGAAAATGATAAATTCAGTGAAAATTGAATTGATAACTCAATAGGAATAAACATTCACCATGAGAAAGAGTAAAAGTGAAAAATATTATTTCACTTGAATTATGATAAGCAATTTTTTTCCTCTTCTATCATCATGAACTTTGCTTCAGGTCAAATTGAAAATCGATATCCGCAAATGAGTTAAATGGCCTTAATTAACTTGAAAATTTTCCCCTAGGCATCAGGTAAACATGGTTTTACTCCCAATATTGCATAATATTGTTAATCTAACTAAATATCATTAAACATAACAATAAACAAATGTGTTATTCTGATTATCATGATAATCAGAATGATATTTTGTTCTGATTCTCAATGAAACCATGATAAAAGTATATGGATACACACAAAAGTAGTTGATTACTAATGAACTATGTCAATAAATACATAAGTAAATGTAATTATTATCATTCAATATTATTGAACCTTTCATTTGTTTTATTCGTATTCATTAGTATGAACTTTATTCATGATAATAAGCTCAGAACATGGTACCATAGGAATGAGAGTGTTCATGATTCTATTGAATTGGCATATAACAAAAATCACAAGCTAAAGATCAGTAACTAGGTAATTCTAACATTCACCAAGAATAAAAGTTCTGTTGATGATATTGAGAACAAAACAAAATATTATTCCACTAATAATCTCTACTCAGTTGAAATGTAATTCTATTGGTAATAAATTAATCATGATACATTAGTGAGAATGAGAGATGAAATCTGATAATTCTGATTAATAATTAATTTAGATTCGATAAAAAAAAATTGAAGATAATTCATGTTCTTAAGATAAAGTTAATGTAATAATAATTTTTCATCCAATATCTTGATTTATTTTTCTTGGAGTGAAAAGTTATCACTAATAGGAAAGCTCAATATCTTATTCAGTTATCATGTTTATTATCAGGAAATGTGATTAATGATGAATTTTTCAAGACTTGTAAAAGAATCACAGTCCAAGCAATTTTATCTTGAAGGGAGAGAGATAATTTTATTTCCTCTTCCTCCTCATCAAATTGTTATTTCATATTGACAACTCGACGATTGGTAAGAATATATTGATAAATTTAATCAATATCTTCATGTGGTTATCTGAGTAATCTATTATTCATTAGCATATATTGTCTAATGTAATAACAATACAGATAATCATGATGAAAATAATGATAATACTAATGAATTATCAAGTAGTCAAGATGAATAATTAATTTGCTCCAATTTAATATTTACCGACAAATCGTAATATATATTAATATTATGGCAAATAGAAGGTTAATTTCTTACTGAATTATTTTGACTTGAAATGAAAATTTCACTTTATCCTTTGCACTGAATTTCAGGTAAAATGATCATGGTTCTTATCTCATTCCAATGAATAATTTAAACTAACAACAAAATTCACTTTGCAATGAAAATGATTTTGTCCAAGTTTCTAATACATATCATGACATTTACTTGGAACTTTTTTTTTCCTTTTAAGCTTCTGATATAATTTCCTATTAGATGAACTGACTTTTACTTTACCCAAAGTTATCTCAAAGGATTTGAAGATAAATTTATATAAGAAAATGATTCTGATGGTTCTTGGTAAACTTTTCATGATGATGATGATGATGATTCTGATGATAATGATAATGATGATGATGGTGAAAGGATAAAGACTTGGAGTGAGGTTGTTTGCAGAATCCGTGATAGTATTGAATACTTTTTTATTCACCGGACTTCTCATGTAATTCAGATTGATAGAATGATGGAAGATGAATGAAGGATTGAGAGAGGGAGAGATAGAGAAATCTAAACTTTGATAACCCCCTGATAATAGGTTTCCTGTGTAATATTTTAGTCTCATGAAATTCAGCATAAAATAATGATAAGTATTCCTCATGATAAACTGAGGAAAGTATTATTATTGCGCCATCTTGAATTCACCTGAGATTATTATTGTTAATAGAGATTGAAATTACTCAGTAAATTGTGATTCTGTTGCTGATTTAATCATGCAATTTATTGATGATATTGATTGATCATCTGTAATTTCATTTTTACCAACATGAAAATCACCAGGTAATGATAATGTTGCTCTATGTGTTTGTTTACATTTCAACCATTGATTATCTAGTCTTGAATTTTTTGCTCAAATTGTTCCATTAATTTGACTTTTTTTTGTTAATCATCATAGATGATTAATTGTAATTAATTAACAATGTGAATAACAATTGCTTGGGAAAAACAATCTAGTGAAATATTTACTTAACTTGATTTTCTCGTTGTAACCATTACAATCACATTGTAATATACATTAGATCACGTTGACATTTATTACATTTACCTGTGTATCACCAATCAAATGATTATTTCAATGAAAATTTTAATGATGAGTTGACCTTGAAAATCACAATCGATTGAAACTTCCGGAACTATTAGAATTTTGTTTTTCATGAGAATAAGAAGAGGAAAAGAGTCCAGAATTTATATTCAGATGGTAGAGATGATCAAATGCATTTAGATGATTTGATGAAATTCTTGGTAGATGAAAGGAAAACAACAACATGATGATGATTATCAACAACAAGAACAGAAAAACAAATACAATAATGAAATCAAACAGAAATAGTAGGAAATACATTGGAAGAAAGGGAAAGTAATGCCAAAGAGTTGAAATGAAAAGTAATGATGTGAAAAGAGCATAAAGTCTCAAATCAAGTTAGAATTGGTTAAAATAAACTGATATTATACCTCAGAACATAAGAAAAATACATAATACTCTGAGAATAAACAGAGAAGAGAGAAGAAGATAAGATGAGGAGAAACTCAAAAAAGAAGAAGAGAGAGAGAGAGAGAGAGAGAGAGAATAAGATGAGGATGATAAACTAAAAAGGGTAGAATGATAAACTAAATTGTGCTACGAATAATCATTATGAAGCACTTTGGAAAATCCTAGTGATAGTAATAATACTAAGATACCAATCGAAGAGAAAAAGTTGATTGTCGATTCTTATTTCAACTTGTTCCCATTTCTGATCACTTATTATTTTAATAGTCTCAAGCATCGATAGATAACTAGATATTTATAAGTTTTCACTGGGAGAAAATGGACTTTTAGCTTTTTACCGTTATGATCATTATCGTGATGATAATGATGATGATAGTGATACTCTTTGAACAATAGATCAACACATTCATTTTAAGTAAAAGAAAAGGAAGAAAAAACTTTCAGAAACAAAGATAATTCTGACTATCATCCTTGCGATGATGATGAGCATGAAAAAAAGTAAAGGTATGGATTTAAAAGTATTTTATTTTAAAATATGATGATAAAAGATGAAGATAAACTAACAAATGATCAACATTGACCTTCATTTATTGAAGTTTTTTTTTCTTTTCCATAGTTTATCATCATTATCACAATTGCTACACATCCTTATGAGACTTTATCTTAACTTTTTCTGTTCATCTTCTTGCTCATCTTCCTCCACCCAACCCACTTAACCCACTTTGTTATGTCTGTGTAATATAATAACCAATCAATAATATTATATTTCACAAATTTCTCTCTCTCTCTCTTTCTCACCCGCCCCACCCAACAATTCATTAATGATCATGTTGATGATAATTCCGTTAAATCTTATATATTATATACTATCACAAATTTATTATTATCATTAGATTTTATTACGGTAAATAAATATCCATGATTATCATGTGAATACTACATGATATTTATAAGTACATGAGGTAACATTTTTATATGGAAGAAAATTTTTATTCCTGGTTGAATCTATTTCCTTGTATTAAATGATTATTGAATAACATGATGATGGTTGTGATAATAATTCTGGTCACAAGAAACTGTGTGATTATTGGTGTGATTATTATCACTGTGATGATAATTTTCCTAATACTTATTAATATGAAAAGTGTATATTAAATAATAATCATGCCGCAAATTTAAGGTTAATTCAATGATAATTTAAAGCAAATCTTCACGTTGTTTGTTTATATATAAATTTACCTAATGAAAAGAGATTAACATTGAGTTTGTTAGTTTGTCAGTTGATTAAATGTAACAAAAATAACACAATTCTGAATATCAGAAGAAAAATTATCTCTTACCATTTATATTATTCATGTAGATTATTCAATGACCTGGAATTAAGAATATATATTAGCTAATATCATGCAAATGTTTCCCTTTTTAGCATTTCTAATACCTTAGTCTCTCTCTCTCTCTCTCTCTCTCTCTCTCTCTCTCTCTCTCTCTCTCTCACTCTCTCTTAATAGTTAGCTATGATATTTTCCCCTCTTTACTTTCACTACTTTTACTATTAGTTTTGTTATTATATTTTTCTGATTGCAAATTCTGAGCTGATATTGGTGTGAGTGTATAAATAACTCATCTACATGCATATCCACATGATTATCATGAATCTCATGAATTGAATTCCTGCTGATTATCATGATTAGCTAATATTATACATTTACCATTGAACTTAATGTGTTACAATAATTGAACTGGACACCTTAACGAATGTCTGATAACACGTTACTAGGTCACTAACTATTATTTACTGTATATTAGTATTCATCCCATGAAAATGAGTATTTATCACTATCAAAGCAATGATCATTTCTGATACAATTAAACTTTGAATGTTTTTATTTTTGTTTTTTCCCCTTCAATCTCATATCACAGACATAAAACAGTCTAATTTCCCATTAATACTTTCAATAATAACTAATGAATACTCAGACTTATAATGATGGACATTAACAAAAAAGCAATTAATTGTTGCACAGTTAAAAATAGTAACGGATCAGTGAAATGATAATCGTTATTTAAAATTTGAAACATTAACTTATTTTACTGTTAATTTTGCTTTTCTTTCATCGCAACATTAACGTTATAAAGTCTATGAGGTAAATTATGAGTGATGTGAAAGTGACTGAATATGATTTCAAAAGATTAGTATTAACATGAAAAGTAATCAAGGTAAATCTCTAGTTTTTGTCATGAAAATAATTGCTTGATAATTTATCGTTTACTTTTCCAATGGTTTTAAAAAGCAACTTAATGCATGAGGAAACATTAAGTCTCATGGTAATCATAATAATAACAATAATAATCTATTTGTATTGTTGCTCAATTAATATATTAGTTGTTTCATTAAAAATTCTAACTTATAATTTTCTTTTCCATTTTTCTTTCTCTTCTTTTCCTTTTCCTCTTTTACCTTTATCATCATTAACATTTTCTTCATCTCCATCATCACGAATTTCCCCTGTTCTATGGCAATGGCTCTCTCTCTCTCTCTTTCTCCTGTTGAACAACAGGAAGAATCACATAAATCATATAGACCTTTGACAATATTAACTTTCCGTTGGAATTACATGCTCCATGGTCTACAGGTCACCGGATATCATCTAGTCAACAGCATCCTCCATAGCATTGTATCAGCATTATTTTTCAGGTAAGAAACATGAAATAATATCAACACAACTATTTACATACAGGATTACATTATTTACCTGAATTTAATCATCACCCAAATGTCTTTCATCATGAGATAAACTTTGAATACATTTAGAGTGAAAGAGAAAAATTTGATGTTACTCATTTAATGGTCCAAATACATACAGGCAGAATCACATTTTCCTCGGTTAAATATCGTTCCCTATCATCAATCAAATGTTAACTGTAAAGGGTTAGATTTTCATGATATGAATAATCAAAGGAGATTTTTTTGTTCTCACAAAATTTTGCCGTTTTTTTTTCTACTTGTCTTTATGGACACAAATGAATAGATATTATCATTACTCGAAATGTGTAATATCAATCTCATCTTTTGACTTATTATTTTGATGATATTGCTTTATGTCATCTCTATCTTCATCTTGTCTTGATTTCTCTGTCTTTCTTTTTTCACCATCTCAACATTTCCTTTTTTTTGCATCTTCATGATGATTCTTCTGGAAATCGTTTTGAAGACAAGGTAATGGATAATTTCTCAACCGAATACAAAACTATTCTTTCAGAACATACATCGTTTCCATCTTGATCTTTATCATCATCTTTTTCATCTTCTCCTTCTGTTTCCAGACTCTCACTTTTCTTGACTTTTACTTGAGAGAGAGAGGGAGAGAGAACAAGAGAGAGAGAGAGAGAGAGAGAGAGAGAGATACAGGGAGGGCAGAAACTAATAGTTTCTTATATATATGATTTTCTTTTTTGCTTCTCGACTGAGTTTGATGTGTCACTTTTAACAGAAAATTGTTGAATTCATTGTACCGTTCAGGGTGGAAAAGATAGAGGGAAAAAATCCAGAAAAAGAAAAGATTTAACTGAATTGAATAGCGAGAAGAAAAAGAATTTTGATCTTTCACAAATATCATTTTCTTTTCGATATTTTTCATTCGCACAGAATATTTCAAGGTATCAAGAATTTTTATCTCTACGACTTACCCTTTTCCCCCAAGAAAAAAGTAACATGAAAAATTTACAATTGATACGATATACAGATAAGAGGTTGATGTTTCTACTGATAAAATTTGATCATCGCAGACATGATACACTAAAAGGGAGATTGATGGGGATGGAGAGAGAAAAAGTTCTGACTGATTGTTTATCTTGTGAAGATATAAAATTAAACCAGAAAAACAACAGCATTACATTGATAGGGTTAAAAGATTGAAGGGTAGAAAATCTTGAAATCCTCAGGCTTCCTTTTCCATCACTATCATGATTTGGAATCAATTTAATTTTCTTTTTCTTCATCTCAACAATTAGTTAATTGTTGTGCTTTTCTTTTATTTTCATTTTTATAAATTCAACAATTTAAATTTTCATTGTTAATTTCCCATTGTTAACATTAGTTTTCCCATTCCCACAACTATAGTTGTAAATTTCTTGATTGTTACTCTTAACCAATCTAATTAATTAGTATCCCTGATTAACTGATTGAGTTGATTAAGAATTTATAATATTCTCAACTAATTAACCAATGGAAATTGATCTAAATTCAATTCTATACCTAAAGATATAGTTAAAGATGATTCAGTTAATTTCAATTAACTAATTTTCTTAATTGTTTCTATCTAAATCTCTTCAACTTTTAAGTTGACCAAAAATTGGTAACAAAAGTAAGAGACCCGAATTTTTCTTTCTCTCCCTCTTTCTTTTTTCTTTCTTTTATTTTTTAGCTTTTACCATTGTTTAAGTCTAAAGACTTATCTTGGTTAATTTTTATCTTTTTATCTTTTTCAACATGTTAACCATATTGTTCATAATGTCGAGACATAGAGACTAAAAGAGTTACTTTGTAACAATAGTTTCACCTCATCACTAATATGATTAACTTGGTTAATTTGATTAATTTGTTTTCCCCTTATTAATTGTAACCCCTTATCATCATTAATTGATATCCCTAAATTGTCACCCCCCTTTTCTTTTATTCTAAAAAGAATAATTTTCCCTCTATAATAGTCAGTCAATGTTTAACATTAAAATAGTTAACTTGCTCATCTTTAATCTCTCAATTCTTAATTAAGGTGATTCTGCACTTCTAAGTGTTACAATCCATCCATCTCTCAAGTTCCTAAAATTCAACCTTCTTTAATTAGACATTTTATGTTTAATTGTCCAAATCTGAATTCTTTAGAATTATCAGTGAAAGTGAAAACACAGGCGTAAGTACAATAGAGAAACTCAGTGATCCTAAAAGAATCGTGTATTCGGTATTTTGTGGGACCGAAAATCTTCTGAACTCTTGTCTTCAAGCCTACAGACTTTTCCGAGTTTTATCTCAATCACATCCATCGATCTCAAATTGATCATCTAACCTCCTCATCTCAGAATTTCCCCCACAAATTGGCGACCCAGGCAGGATCATTGTGTTTTTCCCCGTGTTTGTGTTTTGTGTTTTCTTTATTTCCGTCTCCAATTCTATTGAATTATCTTTTCCCTTTCCATCAATATGCCACCTAAACGTTCTCGTGTTGCTGCGATTACTCGTATTGCTGCTGCTCGCGCCGCGAAAGCTGCAAAGGCTACCCGCCGATCCCTCAATCTAACTGATGCTGAATCAGGACTCTCCGAGGATGATACAATCATTCCTCCACCTCCATCACCTCAAGATACTTTTACCCCAGTTAACCCTAGACCCCCGACTCGTGTTTCTACAGTCATTCAAAAATCCAAATCTCTCAGAGATCTCTCTTACCATGAGATTCTCGAACTCTTTAATAAGTGGAATGTTCCAATTCCAATCAGATCATTGGCTACGAAAAAGCTTAATGATGTTATCTCAACTCATCTTCTTCTTATTGGTGAAAATGTAACCATTGAAGATATTCAAAACCTCGATCTTAACGAGATCAAAACCAACCCATTCCAAATTGGATTTTGGAATTTGAACCCAAAATATTTCCGAAGCGGAAATACAAATATTCTTAAAGAATATCGGTCGTGATGAAGAGACCATCTTTAATCTAACCCACTCTGAGCTTTATGCTCTTCCTCTTCCTCTTGGTGTTCTCAACAAAATAAAGAACATTTTAAATTCTTTTGGTGCTCATATTAGTGAGCAATTACCTTCATCTATCACTCCTCTGTCAATTCCAATGACAATCTTACTCCATCAACTTTCTTCGAATTGATGAAACAATTGAAGACTGACCCTCATGTACCAGAATTCCGCTCTGGTGAGGACCAATATTCTTGGCTGGTAAAGACCAAGGATCGTTTATCCAAAGAGAATGTGGATGACGAAACAAGACTCAGACTTCTCCAAAAGTCTATGGCCCACGAAATAAAAACAAGTGCCGTTGGTTTAGATGATATTACCGATTACCAGGAATACGTCGATGCCCTTTTTGAAAAATTGAAGACTCCCGAAAGTCAATATAGTGCAGATTTTGAGCTCCGAAACTGCCGTTACAACCCGGAATTCCACCCGGAAAAATTCTTCTCCGATATGAGAAGATTGGTCACCAAAGCGTTTGGTCCAACCAACGATTCCCTCTTTCTCAATCTTGTTCTCCAACATATCCCTCGAAATATCCGAGATGATATTTATACCCTTGGTATTAATGATGATCGTACGAGAATTTACAATCATCTTACTAGAATTCATTTTGATTATAAAAATAATCAAAATAGACAAAAGGTCCAAAAAACGGTTCCCTCGAAAAACCCTAACCCAAATCATTCCAATGATAAATCTTCAGTTGCTCGAATGCTTAAAACTAATAATCCTAATTATTCCCAATCTAACTCTAACTATAAGAGAAACCCAAATGCATCTTCATCCGCATCTAAAGATGCTAAATTTTGCAATTATTGCAAAGGTGATGATCATACAATTGATGTTTGTTCTAAGTTAGCTTATCGAAAAGCTCAAGAAGCTGCAGGAATTAAACCTCCTTATCAGGGAAAAAATCAAAATTACGTTCGACAACCATTCAACTCAACAGCAGCCCCAACTAACTTAACCACTTTGGTTAATCAAGATCAGCCAGTTCCTCAAATTCAATTCCCTCCGCAACCAGTTAATGCTATTGTCTCAGTTCCCCAAATGTTCACTAATCCAATACAGTTAGATAACCGACCACCCTCTCCTCCCGAACCTATGCAAAGCGGACTCAGAGGAAATGTAGGATTTGCAATATCTAAAGATATTAAGCAAATTTCCCAAATTGGAAACACTGCAATTTCTCATATGCCTCAAGTCAACTTAACCCTCTGCTTGCCCGATAAAACTCGTGTTCAAGAAGGTAAAGTGTTGATAGACACCGGAGCGTCAGCTTGTGTTATCGATGCCGGTCTAGCTTCCCTCCTTCAAGCTCACGTTATAAAGGTGAACAGAACCCTAAAAGGTATTGCATCAGGAGTCTATGTAGATTCTTTTGGTTTTTCGTATGCAATATTTAAGCATAATGGTATGGACGAATCCCGCATCATCAAATTCCAAATTTGTGAAAAATTTGAACCCGTATTTTTGTTAGGGAATGCCTTCCTTCATGTTTTTTACATGAAAATTCTTTCTGACGGAAATGAGTATGATATCTCTGTCAAAGAAACCCCCAATTCTCCCGAATTAAATAACCCTGACTTTTATTTCCGATTCTGTACCCCCGATGAAACTGACTTCATCATTGAAACTTCTATTAAAGTTACTGGTAATGCTGCTTCCGATTATATCTTGGACTCTCCCTCAACTCATTCAACTCATTCAACTCAAACAATTAACAATTCCTCAACTCCATCCACTCATCATCCAAATCTAACAACAATTCAACTCCCATCTGAAGAAAACAAATTCAAAAATTTTCCTCAACAATCAATAATCGCTCGGTGTATGCTCGTTAGTGAAAACGAAATTACCGAATCAAAAACTCAATCCTTCCTTGACAAGATTAAGTCAAGAATCAACCCAAATTTAAGTTCATCTCAACAAAATGAACTTCTCGAACT